CATATAAAATGAGACTAGAGCAATGAAAAGTGCATGAATGACATGTTTGCTGTCCAGATGGTCCTACTGTTAGCAGAATCTTGTCTAGACTCCCCTTGGCAGCCTGACCCTTCTGATCCCTGTCATAAGAATTCAGCTGGAACACATCACATTTATTGTAGATGATAGGGAAGAAAGGAAGTGGTTAACCAAGATATTAGGGCTTTCTCGAGGGTAAGAGTGGACCATAACCAAAAGAACAATGTGATGTGAATCTTCATTTTAGGAAGACTTTATATACTTTCTAAAGTGTGCAGAATGGACAGCTTTGCTTGGGGAGGGGAATGTTTTTTCCTATCCAAGTGTTTGGCGCACCTGTGTGCTTATATAAGCATTCTGACATGAATAGAGGTATTTCAGTGATACATGGGTGCTCCTCCTTTCAGTCATTAGACTCTTGAGGCAATAGACCCTCAGTTATTACAACTTCCCCCAGGACACTAAAGCTGGGAGAGGAAAATGGCTGAGGTCACCTTATAAAAGACACTGGAATTGAGGCAATTATAGGTCAACACTGAGCTCGACTACACTGATGAGGACCGCTTAGTTATGTTTAACTCGTATCCTCTAGTTTAACTTAAAACTCATATAACAACAACAGGGGGTGGGTTGGCGGCAGGGTTGGGGGGATGGGTTCACTAGGTGTCCTCGTTCCCCTTCCCAGTGTGGCCGTATTGAATGAACCTCCCTTCCACCATTTCACTGTTACTTGTCTCTCTAGTTGGCCTGTTGAGTATGGCTGCTCAAGCATAGCTTGCTCAGTTTGTCAGAATCCGTTCTGACAATCTGGTGCAGGTCGACCCTTATAGAAGGAGGCCGTGCCTTGCCCTTTCTCAGAACGTTTCTTCCTATACAGGTTATCATGTAAGGTTTCAGACTCCTTGAACCCAATTCCTATAGCTATCCACTAGAGTCCTAATGACGTGGATTCCTCCAGAGTGGCTAGGCTTTTCTCTGCTCTTTTTGAACTTGAACTTGGGAAACTAGGGTATCAGGTGTCTAGCAGGCCACAAACCCACCCCAAACCACTCCCTGAGAGCCAATGGCTTTCAAGTTCATTGTCTCCCAGCAAGAAAACACATAAGGAGTAAGAGCAGAGCTAACAGATTGGTTAAGGAAGAACAAGAAAGAACTCCTGAAGGGTGTGTATGTGTCCCAAAGAGGAATACTACTTCACTTCCTACTTTAGTGCCTTTTATGAGACTTACAGGAGGATCTGAATGGATACTGAGTGAATTTTTAATTGAGATTGGTCATTCTGTGAGCATCCTCCACCCCCACCCTCAGCCCTCAACAAAGTGACCATACACCACTTGTTGCATCAGAGGAGTGATCACATGTCATGTTCATCTTCATCCACTCGCTTGTTTTGTAGGCTCATAATTGAGTCCCTTTCTACATGTCTAACTCACTCTTTGCTGCAGACCTTGTTCTTACATGCTGTAGGAACGAGCTCCTTTCTCACTTCCAGACAGTTCAGAACATGACACCCCCACCCAGGGCCAGAGATTTGACTTAGGTCCCACTCCTCTGACCAGTAATTAGAGTCCTGCAGTTCCAGGCCTTGCCTTACAGTTCACCATCTGCTGATTATGATGAAGGACTCTAATCCTGTTTTCTAATCCTGCTACTGTCTAACTGGACACCTAGCACTAGTAGAATAAAAATTGTGACGCATCACGTAATTTCAGAGTAAGTATTTCACAGCAACACTCTCACACAGCACTTAGAGTAGTTCCTGATTCCATATTTAACATTTGAAGAAATTGGGGGCCAGAGGTGTTGCATAAGTATCCCAATGTTGCAAGCTGCCCAGTAGTTGGGGGTAAAAAAGAGGTAAGATCTGGTCTCTCTTCCCTATTAGACTACATCTTCCTATGTCGTCCTAGTACTTTGATCTCTGAGAAGGGAGTGCAAAGTAACATTCTAGACCCAGAAATTAATTTTCAGGAGGTTTTTTTTAACTTTCTGGAACACTTGCTCTGTGTGGGCGCAGCTAATTCTGTATTTGCCCCACTTTTCCAGACTACCTGTAGAGTTGATGGGTAAGTGTGAGACTCCTTCCTTTCACAAGCGGTCCAAAGGAAAGACCTCAAGGATGAGTTCATAGCAGGCTCTCTGCCTTCTTGCCCTCTGTTTGCCAACTTATTCTCTTCGATAAGCTCTGCTGCTTTTTCGCTCAAGACTAAACTATAGCAACTTCCCTTGCCCTCAACTCTGAATAATTGTGAACCCTATTGCCCTTCTCACATTTTTACACTGTATATAAAATTCCTTAGAGCTGTGATAAAATTCAATGCTTACTGTTGCTATTGAATTTCACGTGGTATGGTTTGCTTTGCACATATTTTATTTATTCATTTTTTTATTAAGAAATTTTTTTCATTCATTTTGCACACCAATCAAAGATCTCCCTCTTCCCTCCTCCTGCCCCCCCAGCCTCCCCCTCTCACCCCACCCCTCAATCCCTCCCCCACAAGAAGGCAAGGCCTTCCATGGGGAGGCACATCCTGTAGAGGCAAGTCCAAACCCTTCCTCCTGCTTCACGGCCTTAGGAGGTGTCCCATCATAGGTAGTGGGCTCCAAAAAGCCCTCTCATGCACCAGGGATGGGTTCTGATTCTATTTGAGAATGATTATCTCATAGAAACAAAAATCTTGACACAGTTACCTGTTTGTATTTTTTCTACCTTTCTCTTCACCAAAGAACTTATCCCTAAATGTTATACAAAGCCCTATGGGAGGGTTTGAAACCAAAACTCTCATTTTGTTATATTTCCAAGCTTAGATTGATTCAACCAGTCAATATCAGTGTTTTCCATTTATATCTATTGTTATCATGCATCATTTAAACAAAACAAATCTGATCATTTTTTTCTTCAGGACATTTGACTGATCCCTTTCCTCTTGAAAAAATTAGTTTTCATTCTTCTTATTTTTCATATATTGAAGTAAAAATAATTTATTATAGTAGTATTTTTCTTGCCAATCTTGCTTAATGAAAAAAACTATTAAATAAATAAAATATTCTAGATTTAATACAGATCTTCTAGGCATATATTTCTTGCCTTCCCAGGAATCTATGATAAATTAAGTTTTATACCTGAAAATTAGCTGTTCATTTTCTCCCAATGATATTCTAAATATTACATAATCCTGTATTTCTTTTACATATGTCTTGGCAACAACTGGGAGGAATTCCACTATCACATCATTGTGGACATAAAGCCAGTGATCTCAAATTCCGGTGCCTTGAAAGACATACTACTTTCCTTTCTCTTGCTCTAACAAATAGAGAACAGCCAAGCTTTCAGAGAAGTCGGGAAGTGTCAAGCTCAGCATTGGGGCCCATGGCCTATTGCATGGCAAGAGGCTTCACTATGAGAGAAAAAGAGGGGTTAGGCTTGCTGAGGGAACTCACAAAAATGGTTTAACAGAGTCTGCTAGCAACTGCACAAAGGAAGGGACCTTGGAAGTCTAATACATACCTCATCAGAGCCATTCCTCCTGTTTTTTTTTCTGTCTTCTTTTTCCTTCCCATTTTTTTTTTAATCAACTCTCCATGTCCATCATATGGCTTGTCACCATCTGACTTTAGGCTGCTCTTCCTTAGGTTGTAAAACAGGGTTTTCTCCTTACTGAAGGCAGACTTTACACTTGTCTGAATAAAGGAAGTGACTGTTGTCTCCTTCAAAGTGACATTATCAGCCATTAACCAAGACACTTGTCAGGAGCTTACTGACCATTCACAAGGCTATTGGTGTCAGAAGATATTAACTTGCCGTCTTGGGATTCATATGTCTCAAAGGGAGTCTCCAACATAGGAGGCATCTATTGCTATGTGAGAAGAATCTTACATGCCATGAATCAGGATAATGCCATATGTCACAAAGTAGCTGAGAGAAATATGTGTGTCTCAAATGAGAAGCACTTGGTGGTGTTGACTTCAGATGGCCCCTTGTCTTCTTTCCTGTCTACCATCCTGTATCACTATTTATAAATCTTTGAAAACACATTCTCTTAAGTTGAAATTCCTATTCACTAGGTATCTCTGTCACACTCTATGATATGTTGTTTTTCCAAGAGTTCCATAGAATGATTGACTTATAGTTAGCAGATCTTACATCTTGGGCTACAGTATCTCCCCCTTCATGTTTCACTTACTTTGCCATAGTGCTGTGCTTATAGTACTTTCAATAATGATAACCTTTTTTTCTCTCAAGTTGAATATCACACAAACTTCAATCCAACACATTACACTGACTCATGTTCCTGTCTGTTTGCCACTGACCAGAGAGTCTCTTAAGAGCAGTCACTTCTACCTTGCTTTTGATTTTTCATATCTGTTGCTTATTTAGAGACAATGAAACATTAGTTATGTGCCCCCACACTACCACCAGGCTATTCTAAAGCACCTGGTGAAATCTAGTGGTGTAACTACATGGTCATTAGTTTTTGAAAACTTACCAAAGCAAGATATTTTAACTAGATAATTTTGTAGCTCTCACAAAGGTTATCTTTCTTATGTGGCCTCGGGCCTCACAATAAGATTAATTAATCTTCCTGTCTGTGCTTCAACTAAATTTAACCCATTAAAATGATCTGTATTAAAATGTTGACGATACAACTGTTTCAGTAGATGATTAGTGTATTTTGTGTTGAAAAAGGAAAGAAATCATCAGATTGCCCAGTTCTGATCAGCATGAGTATTCTGGGAAGGAAGGGACTTTGAGGGTCCTCTCATTACAAATGTATTAAAATCAGAGTAATGAAAAAATGGAGTCAATAACATCACTGTCCCCAAATGTTGTACATTTTTCCTTCCCTCCAGTCCTCTCCCTCTTCCATTCCTCCCGATTCTCCCCCCTTTCTCCTTCTGTCGCCCATTTTTCTCACCTCCTTTTCTTTTCCTACCTTTCTTTCTTGGCTTCTAACTTATTTTCTTGTCTTTTCTCAATGCAGGTGTTTCATAGTGCTCACCTGGCTTAAAGCTTTCCTTATTTTTGAAAGCTGAACCATCTACTCAACCGAAGATGAAAATGCCATTGCTGGCCAGCCATCTCCTGCTAATCTCTATTACGTCCTGTCTAGGAGGTAAAGAAAAGCCTTCGTGTACTCTCCAGAAATTATGTGAATATAATCAATATGTGTTTTGTTTCCATGAAATCTTCCATGTGATAGTAGAACTAATACCTTCTTTTGACATCTGGGTTGAGTCATATTATTAAATAAATTTTACAAGCTAAGATTGACCTTAATTTTATTTTTATTTTCAATGAAGATTTTGTAAGCTTTAGCCTCCTTTCTGTAGTAAAATGCTCAAAAACCTGTAAACTGTATCTCTGGAAAAGGAAACACTTGGCATGTCAATTTTAACTTTACACAATCTCTGTAGAGTTGGAAGAGATGTGTGCCATTTCTACCACCCCTGCCTGCAATTGAATGAACTTCAGTACCTTGAATAATAGTAAAATATAGTGAGAAAAATTTCAAAGTAACATTTTAAATGACTTCCTTTTGCGTTTAATAAAACTTACTCACTTGTCAATTAGCATTAAGCTTATATAGCTGTGTTTAATAATTGATTTACAAGATTTGTAAAAAAAAATAAACATGTAGCTATTATGAGTATCCAGCACAACACTGAATCTGATAAATTTTTCATTTGTTTACTTAATTTTAGGAAAATAGCGTCCAAATATTCTATGACATCTGTATGCATATAAAGAACAACATTGCCACTTTGAGCTCTCAGCACAAAGATCATGTTTCTCTCTTTCAAAGGAAATATCAAAATTCAGAAATATTTCCCACAAGTGTAGACACCTAGTTTTACTGGCAGTAATGTGTTTCCTAAAATATTGATGTTTTTATCTCAATGACTTTCGCTCAGTGAGTACTTGTTGAGTTGTTATTCATCTGAAAACGTACCTGTATGTAGACATTTCATACATGAATCTCTGCCAGTCTCTTTTATGACATTTTTAGACATACTGTTCTATTGCATTTACGATTTACTCGGTTCACTTATTTGTTGGATACAGGGTCTCTTATAGTCCAGGCTGCCCTGAACTTACTGGGCATATAAGGATGACCTTGAACTACTTGATCCTCCTGTATTATTTTTCTAAGTTCAGGGATCACAGTATGGTCAGCTAGTCTTTATTGTGTTTTTTGAGGAGATGGTGATTTTTATTATGCTAATTCCATAATTTGGTGAAAATAATTTCATTAGTGTCAACAATTGGAGAGATGAAGCCACAGCTTCATGTTTTGCCTCCAGCAGCCTGGGTCTTTCCTTCCATCTTTCAGGAACCTGAACTCAAGTAAAAACAGATCTTTGGTTTTGAAGGCAAAAAATAATTTCAAGACAAGCCCTTATAAAGCAGAGCCAGAGTGTATTAGAAATACAGGGAAAGGAACTTGAGGACCATTAAATCACAACTTTGAGTGTCAATGTAGGGTTCTCACAGAACAGTCATAATTATCTTAGTGGCAAACATATACACCATGTTGGCGGTTCTTGAGTTACATCCCTAGGGTGTCTAAGAAAACAAAATTTTCCCTTTCTCTTTTTGTTAAGTAGGAATAAAAGATGAATCCAAATATGTCTTGGATAAGAATGTAGTTTGATAAGAGCAATCCAGGCACTACTATCTTGCACAAAGAGGGGTCCTGGTGATACCCTAGAAAGCTGGTCTTACAGCTGGAAGGAGGCAAAGGCCTTGAACAAATGCCAGTTGTGTTAGAATTCTTGAGTCTTGATGGGCGATGGTGGCGCATGCCTTTAATCCCAGCACACGGGAGGCAGAGCCAGGTGGATCTCTGTGAGTTCGAGGCCAGCCTGGTCTACAGAGTGAGATCCAGGACAGGTACCAAAGCTGTACAGAAAAACCTTGTTTCAAAAAACCAAAAAAAAAAAAAAAAAAAAGAGACTTTCAGAGATGGAGGTAGGGGATTTTCCCCTTCCTTTGTCCTCATGCTGTTCCTCCTTTTTCTAACCTACTTCAGTTCAGTTAATACTTAAAAATTTAATATCAATGGTAAATATACATAGACACAAGAATGATATGCATGCAATATGTGGATATATAATTGCATGCATGATGTGTACATAATGCATAAAAAGAAATTGTATATAGTTATTGACATCTTACTATAAATGAAATAAAAAGTGTTTAATCTCCCAAATTCATACTAATGCCATTGATTGCAAACATTAGTGCTACCACTATATAATGTAAAAATAAGAGAACAATATTTGCACAGATGTAAAGCTGCATCAATCTTCAGTGTGAAGAGCATTTTCTACCAAATCATTGACTCTTTGACCATGTTTGAAAACACACCTCAAAAAAATAACTTGACATATTTTTTTTCTTTTTTTAGAGTTCACATGGCACAGAAGATATGGTCATGGAGGTAAGAATTAAATGGCTTTTTTTGTAAGATGATAATTAAATTCTGCTTGAAGCTATGATAACTCTAAACTTTAAGGCAATGATTACTGTTGGGTCACTTAGAAATCATTTTTTCTGAAATCATTAAACAAGTTGTTTGATTATTGAAAGACATAATACACCTAGACACAGACACACACACACACACAAACACACACACACACACACACACACACACACACACACACACACATGCACACACACACACTCTCAGGGGTTTGGGCAGATGAAAACTATTCAGTGGGGTCTTCATTTTGTCTTACATGCTTTGTAACAATGCCATGCTGTGAAATTTGAATTGGTGTTTAAGGATTGCTTAACTTTTTTGCAAGCCTTGTGTTTGCTTCAAGAGAAAGAACTAAAGTTAGTGCATTCGGAACCTTAAGATTTGGCGCAATTAGGAGCTGACAGATGTTAGACAATTTCCTGCTTGAGATGTACTGAATGTAACAACCAATCCTGCTGGTATAGTGTCTCCTGTGATTACTGGTTCCGCTGAAGTAGAGGCAGTCAAAAGAAGACCAAGTTGGCTCTGCCTCTCCAGCTGGAAACTCACTGGCTAAGCTGGTGTTTTTACATAAATTAGTCAACTCCTATGAGCTTCTGGTTTTAATATGTAAAAACCACAGGGTTCCTTACTGCAAGAACCCCACAAAGAACACAGCAAATGCAGCTGAGGTAGTGATTGATGGACTCTATGCTCAGTGGCTGGTAACTGCTAACTCACTAAAGCCACTGCAGAATGACAGAATGAAAGGTCAGGACGAACTGCTGAGCATCTAGTGTGACAACTTCCATGCGAAATAAAAGGATGCCATTCACACTGAGAAGGATTTCCACTTGGAGGCTAAAAAGAACAGAAGGGCAAGAAATTATTAGCTCAAATACCATCAAAGCCATTTCTCCTCCCACCTTGTGAGCTGGGAGTCCTACATGTAGATATTATCAAGTGATATAGCTTGCCAGACTTCACGAACTTTATCATAAGTAGGAAACATGACAAGGTAATAATTCTTTAAGAAAACAATTGAAGTATTCTTCATTTGATGATTCAAGGTATGCTTAATAATGAAAGTTGTAGATAAGGAAGCCTGAAGTTTTTTAACATTTAGAAGTGGCACAGATTCTAAATAATGATGGTAACTGATAAAAGTCTTTTTTAAAAAACAAAAACCAAAGAACACTTGTAATTTCTGTAGAATATTAACCGGAATTTCATTAGAAAGAACTTTATTGTCAAATAAGCTATTGGAAACCCTGCTGCATAGTAAAGGATAATTGTTTGTAATTAATTGTGGTTAGGATTTATAGTACTATAAAAATAAGTGCAGGCATTTCATTGCACTGACATAATAAAACACTTGGCACTCAGTGACTAAGAGCATAAACTTATTTTTAACATCTCTAGAAAATAGAACCCAAGCTCAAGGTGTTAGTGGGGCTGTGGTCCCTTGGAATATGCAGAATCCTTGCCACTTGCAGCTGCCAGTAGCCCCACATGCTCCTTTGGTTGTGAGGGCATAATTACAGTGTCTGCCTCCAGCTGCTTGCAACTTCTCCCTATGGTTCTTCACACAACCTTCCCTCTGAGCATGCAAAAGACACCCCTCCCCACTCCATTAAGATGAATCTGTGAGGAAAGACATAATATATAGGTATGTTCCCAAGCTCAGTTAGCATCCAGCTGGTAATCACTAAGGACCCCCTTATCTATGTTAAATTTGTGACTCTTCACTTTGGGTAATGTAAGACAAATTGCTAAATAGTCTTATTCATAAAAAACCCGGATCTAGATATTGGGGTGAAAAACCGAGAGATCAGAGGAATAGGACAAGCCACAGCCAACCTCACCTCACCAGCTCCTCAGCCTCCAAAGAGACCTACTTCCTGTATACTCACGACTATATGCCTTTCTGTCCCTGCCCTCTTACTTCCTCTCTCTACCTAGCTACATCACTTCCTCTTTCTGCCCAGCTCTATCACTTCCTGCCTGTCTGTACAGACCTCCATGGTTAGTGCTGGGATTAAAGGCATGTGCCACCGTGCCTGGCTCTGTTCGCAGTGTGGCCTTGAAACTCACAGAAATCCGGATGGATCTCTGCCTCCCAAATGCTAGGATTAAAGGCGTGTGCTGCCATTGCCTGACCTCTATGTTTAATATAATGGCTGACTTTCCCCCTCTGATCCTCAGATAAGCTTTATTGGGGTACACAGATAAAATATCACCACAGGGTGGAGTACTGAGACTGCCCAGCAAACACTACATTTCCCCGAACACCCATTTCCCGTCTCCTTAGTCATGTCTCAGGGCACCGCACTCCTCATGCCTCTAAAATCCCTGAACAGTCTGACTTTCAGATGTCAGATTTTATTCCTATTGCATGGACAGGTTAGAAATGATGAGAAAACAGTTCCACAGGCTCCTCCTCCATCCTCTACTCTCCGCTCACAACTGCATTGCTGTGTCCTGCTGCCGTTTGTAGGGCTTACCGTACCCGCCCTTCTCTTGTGCAGTAGGCCTGTTTCATCTAGTCCATTTAACACAGAAAATGCCCCTTCTTTCCCCGTTGCCAATGTCTCCTCCTTCATGGCTATCACTATCAATACACATACATTCCATGGGGTGGGAGGGGTGCGGTTGGTAATGACAACCTTTTTCCCGGCACTTGAGAGGCAGAGGTAAGTGAATCTCTGAGTTCAAACCCAGCCTGGTCTACATAGAAAGTTCCAAGATACCCAGGGCTACATAGAGACACACTGTCTGAATAAGTCATTAATAATAATAATAATAATAATAATAATAATAATGTCATTTTCAAACTCTGTACTTAATATCCCATGTATTCCATCTACTTGACAGCAATATAACAACAAAAATACTTTTGCCTGTGATTGCTCTTTTCAATTCCCTAATCTATCTTCTCCTTTGAATATTGCAAGTTTTAACACCAGTAATCAACAGTTGCCTCTTTACCACCCATGATGTAGAAGTGGTTAATGCAGTGAGCCACTCTCCAGCTTCCCCTGTAGTGCACAGCTGGGCTGTCACTTCTAGACAGAACAGTATTCTAAATGAAGAGGAGCATTTCTCTTTTCTTTTATTTATCTCTTTTTAAAACCAGAGAATCTTTCCCAGACCCCTCTGAGAGAAACGTCATGGCCTGAGGTAATCTGAGTCCTCTTCAGCTACGGCAGACCATACCTTTGGGGTACATCAGACATGAAATAGCCTGAGAGTACTCCAAGCCATTTTTAGAAGTTTATGAAATAGCTTGATGTCCCAAGGAAGCTATAAAGACATGATGGATTCTCCCTGTGACATAAAGCCAAGCAAAGAATTTAATCTCTATAACCTGATCTGCTAATCCAATCCCTGTCATCCTTTTAAATATTGGACTTATGCACACCTGTTGACAGGAATTCCCAGTGTTGCATTGTTACAGATGTCAAATTAGTGTAATGTTACTTCTTATCCATTGCCATAAGTGATAGTGGTGCTAGAGTATTCAAAACCAAATCCTAAACATCCTGATTATCTCAGTGAAGAAAGGACCGATAGTATAGAGAAGTTTGTGCTCAACAATGGGCTGAATAACATTTGCCTCATGTAGATGGTTCATTGTACTTCAAGAGAGCTTGAATCACTCTTGGCTCCATGATGAGAGATATTGTAAATATTATAAGAATTCTAATAATAGACTTTTCAAATTTTGATGCCATTGCTTTATTTCCTAATAGATTTTTTTCTTAGACTCATCTGACAACATACTTATGCAAAATTCTGTCTAACAACAGATTGAGATGACATACTTCAGAATGAAAAAAATGGGATTTCTCTCAAGAGAGATAAAAATGTGACTAAAAATAACTCTCAAACACAAACTGCAATCTTACTTTCGATTTTCTAGAAATCAAACAGGATAGCAAGATCACAGAGGACTAGCTCCACTGGGAAAAGGGCAAGGATATGCTTTGGCCACTGACTGATTGTGCTATCTATGAACATGAAAAGCCCGCTGAGGGAGCAGCAGGAGCGTTTGGTTCCCTGGCATCTGCAGATATTCCTTCAAATATGCACGCGTGATCTTTTTCTTTCTTATCAGTAGTTTCAACCAAATCTGATAAAGTAATCACTTCTAAGGTAGAGTTATGAGAGCTACATTAGATAAAGGAAAGTGAAAGGTTTTTTTTTTTTTTTGTTAAAATGGGTTTTTATTAAGAGAAAAACAGGTCAAAAGAAAATGTGTTAATTAAATCTTCAGGTAACCTGAGATGTTCCCTCCAACTTTCTCTCTCTCTCTCTCTCTCTCTCTCTCTCTCTCTCTCTCTCTCCCCCTCCCTCCCTCCCTCCCTCCCTCCCTCCCTCCCTCTCTCTCTCTCTCTCTCTCTCTCTCTCTGTTTCCCTCCCTCCCTCCCTCCCTCCCTCCCTCCCTCCCTCCCTCCCTCTCTCCCTCCCTCCCTCCCTTCTGCCCCCACCATAGATGGAAATTTCTCTGGTCCTGCCTTGCCCAGCAGTCTAGATGAATCTCTCCCACCCTTAGTCCCGCAGCTACTTATAAAATAATTACACAGAGGATTATATAATATGGCCTATGGCTTCAGCTTCTTGCTACCTAGCTCTTTCATCTTAAATTAACCCATTCCTGTTAATCTATATGTTGCCCCGTGGCCATGGCATTACCAGTAGGCTGGCACCGTGTTGCTCCTTGGGTGGCAGCTGGCGTCTCCCCCAACTCCACTCTTCTCTCTGTATCTCTTGTTTGGATTTCCTGCCTGGTTGTAAGCTTTCTTGCCATAGGCCAAAACAGCTTTATTTATTATCCAATGGGAGCCACACATATTTACAGCATACAGAAAGACATCCCCCAGCTCTCTCTCTGTCTGTGTCTGTGTCTGTGTATCTGTGTCTGTCTGTCTGTCTGTCTCTCTCTTTCTCTCTCTAACTCCATAAAACTTCCAACACATCAAAAACTGTCACCTGGATCTTCTCACTCCTAGAGCAGCAAGAGACAGAGGCACACATTTCTGCAGGCTGAGTATAGAGCTGCCTCAATGGGTCCTGCACTGAGTCTCATGCTGTGTTATCCAAAAACTATCTTCTTTCTCTTGGTCTGAGCACTACTCTTGAGTGAGGGGACCATGGAGTCACCATAGTGGGTGATGGGGTTAGATTCCTGCTGAGCATGACAATGACTTGACTTGACTTGACAAAGACTTGAAGTCCTAACTGCTGCTCTCAAGGGCCTGTTTCAGTTCCCAGCTAACATGGGCAGAATCATCCATAAGCCTCACAGGAGATCCAGTGTCCTATCTACAAAATTCTAGAAATGTAAGCAACATATGTTCCTTAAACAGTGTAACCCTATCCTGGAAACAAGAAAACTGAAATATATTAAATGTGATTTTTTTTCCATATGAAAATTAACTTAGCTTCATTATTTTATCTCACTAAGGTTTCATATCTGTCCCTATAGAAATTAGAAATTAATGGAGGATTGGAAAATATACACACATCATTTGTACAACATATTGCCATTAAGAAGAAAACAAATGCAACAATATTTTTGTTTGACCTATAAAACTTTAACTACAGATTTTTAAATATTTACATAAGCTCTTTACAGAATTGCCTTCCTATTATATATACAAAATTGGTAATACATCTCAAAATGTTAAGGCCTCACTACTGTTAGTAGGTGATATTTCTTTCAGATAGTATCTCAAAGGTCAATGTTAGAGAAGATAAAAACCACTGTGCTGGTTAAGTTAGACCATCTATTTAAAAAGGAAGCTGAGAGCCCCAAATGAGCATCTTTCATCAACAAATGAAGCTTTTAGTACTGAGAATAGGTTACATCCAATCAAGTTGTTCGCCAAAGGGGCAACATGGGACCCCCCCACACACACCAAACAACCCAGGCTGTTGCCAAGGCTGTTGATTGTTCTTCACAAACTGAGTGAAAACAGAACATGCACAAGTCATTGAACATGGAGAAGTCGAGCTGGTGCCTATCTAGAGCCATTGTCCCAAAAGACTACTTATTCATGGTACTGGAAGGCACTCTGTGTGCTACCAAAGGAGAAATGTCAACACAAATCCAGATACAAATCCTTAAATTTACAGCAATGACCTGCCTGCAAGATATATTGGTGCAATAATGGCACAAAGCTTATGGTAGTAACTAATCTGATTGGATTTAAGGTCCACTCTATGAAATGGAACCCATACCAACACTGCTTGGATGGCCAAGAGAGAACCTGAGATTAGATCAGCCAGGGACCTAAGAGAAAACCAAATATTACTGTTCCACTAAAGGAACATGGCAACAAAATGGCTAGCAACATTCTGCTATACTCATAGATAAGTGTCTTGTTCTGCCATCATCCGAGAAGTTTGCTCCAGCAGCAGACAGATAGGAACACATACAGAGACCCACATCCAAATACTATGTAGAGAGTGAGACCTTGGGACACACAGTCCTAATTGGGATGTTTCAATCACAACCCTTTCCTCGGGGCTCAGGGAGCTCTACAGCAAAGGAGGCAGAAAGAGTGAGAAAGCGCCAGGGGGGATTGTAGACACCGAGTAAACAAGGCTTTCTAAACATAGCAGGTCAAAAAGCATAAAATCAGAGACTGTGGCAGCCTGCATATGGCCGGCACAAGTCTACCAGAGAGAGTCCTAGAACTGAAAGAAATGGACACATGTCACCATCCCTAACCCAGAAGCTGCCCCCAGTTGATAACTACTTGCAAATGAAAGATTAATTTTCTCCAAGGGAGTCTCACTGGGGAAACAAATCACCCTTAAAGGCAGACCCCATGCCCACCAGTAGATGGCCAATACAAAATAAACTCAATGGCATCTTTGGAAGTCCTTTGACTTACAATGTTGAATCAGAGCATTCTCTTTTTTTCTTTTTTATCTATTATCATTATTATTAATTATTATTTTTTTATCTTATATGTCCTTTGTGTATATAATATAGCTTCTGGGTTTGTGTGTTTGGGATTCTTGTATGAAGGAATGTGTGTGTCTTTGAGGCTCCATGTATTTCTTGTGCTTTTTCTGTTTTTGTTTTTGTTTTTTCGAGACAGGGTTTCTCTGTGTAGCTTTGCACCTCTCCTGGAACTCACTTGGTAGCCCAGGCTGGCCTCGAACTCACAGAGATCCGCCTGGCTCTACCTCCCAAGTGCTGGGATTAAAGGCGTGCGCCACCACCGCCCGGCTTTCTTGTGCTTTTTCTTTGGTTCATTTCCTTCTCTTTGTTTTCCTTTGTTCCGTGCTGATTTGTTTTGTTTTATTTTATTATGTTCTATTTTATTTTATTATTATTTCTTAGAATCTTGTTTGTTTTCTAAGGAGAGATGGAAAGGTGTGGATCTGGACGGGCGGGAACTGGGAGGAGGCGGGGACTGTTGTAATCAGAATATATTGTAGGACAAAATGTATTTTAAATAAAAGAAGAAAAAGAGTAATAAGCTGGGGTAGTCTGACATGTTGGCACATGCCTGCAATCCCAGTACCTGGGAGGTAGAGATAGGAACGTCTGGAGTTGTGATGTTAGCCTGGGCTACAGGAGGCTGCCTTAAATAAACCAAACCCAGAAACAAAGGCAAAACAGTAACAGGACACAAGCTGGGGGAGTCCACCACGGCTTGCTTCTATTGGAGCCACCGCAGGGACCTCAGGGAAGAGCTTTCTTCCTTTCGAGGCACATGGCTCACTGCTAACTCCTTCAGAGAGCATGGCTCGTAGCTGTTGTTCGTAGATGCTGCTACAGTAGTGACCTGGGAGTGACTCCTGCCTCTTCAACCTTTCTCGCTGCTTCATTACTTCTTCCTTCCAGAGAGCATACACTCCTAAGACAACTGCTTCCCAAGCAGGGTACTTGTGATGGATTTCAAACCTGTTCATCATCTCCCATACTCGCGATTTGTATATATGTTGTCACAGATAATGGCAAAGTATGAATCCTGGTCACATGTTCAGGGATAAGAAAATTCAAAGGAGAATAATCTCCCCCAGAGCATTCAGGAATTCACTTATTGCTTTACTCTCATCTTCTGAAATCTTTAAGCACCTTTGCATTCTAGACTGCTAGGCAGCCTGGTAGCAGGATGCAGTGACTAAAGAAGCCACCTATCTCCTCCCAACACTGCCAGCGTGGTGACAGAGCAGGCTGCCTCCAAAGTCAAAGCAGGCATGTCAAGTCCCACAGCCTGAGCGAGCGGGGAGGGGGGGCCGGACTATAGGGGCACAAAAGGGGATCATTTAGAGCAGGAAGGATGGGAGGCAGCCTTCTGAAGGAATTAACACCATGGCTGGGTCACAAATGTACAAACTTTGGTAGGAAAATTAGGATGATGAGTTTAGAAAGTAGAAAAGCTCAAAGCTCATGCAAAGACCTGGAGGCATGAATGTTTGTGTGTGCGCGCGTGCGTGCGTGCGTGCGTGTATGCGTGCGTGTAGAGGGAGCTATACAGAGATAACTGGCAAACAGTACATTTAGGGAAACAATAAGAAACAGGCAGAAAAGAAGTGCTTTTGGTGCAACATTTCCTTTGACTTACAAAGTGATACACTATAAAATCATCTTGTTTTTGTTTCAGTTTCTGAGGAGGACAAAGGATTTGGACCCATTTTTGAAGAGCAACCAATCAATACCATTTACCCGGAGGAGTCGCTGGAAGGAAAAGTTTCACTCAACTGCCGGGCACGAGCCAGCCCTTTTCCAGTTTACAAGTAATGCACCCCACTGCTCTTTTCAGAATGGAGGGCGAGGGCTGCAGAGCGCAGGTGCCATCTGTAACCTCATATCTGTAGAGTAATCTCTAAGACTGGTCTGTAGAGTCCATCGACATCAACTCAAATATTGACAGACTCACTATTGAAAACACTATATGATATTTATGTACATAGGAGTTTTCTTAAATATATGTAAGAATTTATTTATACATAGATTATATAGGTAGATTTGCTATTGTCTAATGAGCTGATGCTTTCAAACAAACAAAATGTTTTACACATACACACACACACACATATATATATATATATATATATATATATGTATATATATATCTCAAAAGTTTGAGTAGGCAATTCCAGAAGGTTTTACCCTTTTCAAGTGATCTCAAATCTCTACCCCTGACAACACAGTTCCCTATAGTGCCAGTATTCACCCCTAACACTCATGTGTGTGAGGCAAGCCTTCTGCCACTGAGCTGCATTCCCAGCACAAACATAGGTCTTACATATATCTCTGTCTTCTGAACAATGCATGAGTCACTCTGTCTGTGTTCCTGGGTCACTTCTCTATGCTATCATCAAAACTTAGTAAGAAGTGAAAAATCGGTTTCTCTGCTGCAGAGAGTTCATAAAGTTATACCAGCACTCTAATCTGTATTGAAGACTAAGAGTTAACTAGATGCCGATGAATTTGAATGTCTTTTGTGAAGTGTTTCCGTGATAGAAAAAGAAGAGTTGGGAAAATGGAACTTTAGTGGACAATTGTCACCCAACTTGATTGAAATTTATCAATTAATAATTAAGTGTTTGATAGTAGGCTTTCTTCCTACTGTAAAACAGCTTTCTATTGTTATACAAAGTTATTACCAGGGAAAATATCACCTTCCCACCACTTAATTATAATTGTGTTCCTTTTCTCTTGCCTCTGGCTATAATTACAAGATTGCTAATAAAGTGAAATATGAATTTAGATATAAAATCACCATCCTTTTGAAACTATTTTTATTGCTTCAATTTCATGCATGGGAGCACAATATAAATTATAAATAACACATTTGTTCTAAAAATTATTTGGTTGGTAGACTTACTGCAATGGTCTCTGCACATAGTCATGGGCCGGCATCAGTGACAGGTTGTGGAGGAGATTTATCCACAGACATATTTACAGGAAAAGATGCTTAATACTAAGTTAGATGTGTTGACTTGACTGTGTAGGTTAAGCACAGATGCTGGACCAAAGCACCAGTGTGATGGTTTCTAAAAAAGCCTCCAGATAGTGTGAAAATCTCAAGCCTATTTCAGTGATACAGATCCAGTGACACTGTCCTCACCAGCAGCCGCCAGACTGGCTTGGAGGCAACCAATCAGCAGGTGCTGTGCTCAGTGTTTCGAGGAACACAGCATGGGCAGGGCTATTGTCCTTCCCCACCCAGAGGCAGTATGAATGAAATGTATTCTGGCAAATATGTCACTGATTCCACCCCACAGGTTTTAGCCAAACAAAACCCCCAGCTTGACCTGGCTTGACTGTCCATATATTAATATAGAGAGTGGACAGAGCCAAGTAGATATTCAACCCTGATAGGGAGGTGGCTGCCGCTGACAACAAAATAAAGCTTGAAGGGGAAAAGGAGAGGAGAGGAAGATTTGTTTGGTGGTAAAAAGGAATGCCTGAAGTTTCTCAAATGCACTGAATTATGGACAAACCACACTGCCTTAGGTAATCATGCAATTTGTCCTTCACAAAGTAGTTTTGTATTTGTGGCATGCTCTGTGGTGATGGATTATGCATGGTGGCATCCTGAGAGGTAAGAGGCACAACAGGAATTTCACTTGCCACTCACTAGCCTCGGTAACCTTTCCCCATCTCCAGCCCCCAAGCAGCAAGCACTAAAATAAAAATACACATTTAAAGGCATGCACAGGGGGTTCAATACCCATTTCTGAAAATAGACAATGAGCTTACCCAAACACAGTGAGACATAAAATTTTATGATATCCCACACAATCACAGCCAGAGGCAGTCAAGGCAGTAAACACAACTCGGAGCCAATAAACTAGGGGAAAAGGCCAACAATTGAAGTTGCCTGACTAGGAAACCTGTGTCATGGTCACTCCACACCACTTGCTTTGATTCCAGCAGGGCCATTCACACATAGTGCTCTGTGTGTGGTATTGAAATTAGCTCTGATGACAGAAAGATGAGAACTGGGAAATGTCCCAGTGACCCAAATTATAAAGACATTCTGACACCATGCATTTTCACCACTATCCCTACCGGCATCAGAAATGTATTTGGCATCCAAAAAGTAGCCACAGATGCCCCCTGAACTTCATGATGGGGACTCTTGTGTGATGGTTTTCCTGGGACGTTGCTTTAAGAGATGGACCCTGGTACAGGGTAAAATGATTTGTTACTGTTATCTTGTAAAATGATTTGTTACTATCATCTTAAATGAAAACTCTTTTCTCTATGTATTCTTCTCAGAAACTCATGCAAAAACAAAACAAAAAATACCGACAACAACAACAAAAAACAACAGACTTCTATGTATAACATTATCTTCAGTGGGTGGTATTGTTAGCCACAATATTTCCCATTGATGCCATGATACATAGGCTTATATGGTGGAGGAAAATGCCTTCCACAAATGTTGCCCCCCAAAAAGTGTGAAAAGGCACCAATGAATGCTAAATCTAGGCTGAAGAAAATCTGATTTCACTAGTTTAGTTGTAGCTACGAGTTAAGACCCAGTGGAGTAATTTAAACTATGTGATCGCCCCCTGGTGGTCAACCTGTGTCAGTTGCTGCTTCCTTTAGTTTTATTGGAAAATGGCTGTGCTATTTAGCCAGATAAACTGTGCTATTAGCCAGTTTATGTTTTAATTCTTCTACAGATACGTTTTAATAATTTATGTAATGTATCTAGATGTGTATGAAACTGCATAGCGATGTATGGCTATCGAATGTGCTCCTGTCTCAACAATGAAAAATCAATCTCTGGAATGAAACTCAGTAACACATTTTTTTTTTCTTACAGGAAACCTCATTTAAGATGAGGGAATGTGTCAGGGGTTCACACTTACATTTCTGTGCCTTAGTTAAGTTGTTATGCTTGTTTCCAAATACTCAGAATTGCAGGTCATTAAGAAATACCACTCCACATTGAGCTAACCTTCAATCACTTCAGAGTGATGTTAGCCTGACAGAGTTTCCAGGCTTTGGTGACCTTCAGAGTGACCTTAATGTCTTTTTCCTCGAGATGGAGAATGAATAATGGGGATGTTGACCTGACAAATGATCGGTACAGTATGGTAGGAGGAAACCTTGTCATCAACAACCCTGACAAGCAGAAAGACGCTGGGGTATACTACTGCTTGGCATCAAATAACTATGGGATGGTCAGAAGCACAGAGGCGACCCTGAGCTTTGGATGTAAGTAATCATAACTTTTTGAAGGTGGGTTTATTCATGAGAAATTACAAGGGCTTTCATTATTGATAGAGGTCTATATGAATTGGGGGTTTAATCCTGTGATGGTTAACTATCTCAGCTTTTCTCTTCCATTAAAATTACTTCTCCTGGAGAGATGTTTCAGAGGTTGAGTATAATAACTACTCTTCCAGAAGCACCAAGTTCAGTTCCCAACCCCCATGTTGAGTGGCTCACAACCACTCATAACTCCAGCTCCATGGAACCCAGTGCCCTCCTTTGGCTTCTGTGGGTAAAAGCAAAGACACACACACACACACACACACACACACACACACCACAATACTGCACACACACACATATATTACACACATGTATACAAATGTATAGATGCACATACACACACACAATGCACACGTCTAAGTAAAATTAAAAAATCTTATTCCTACAAATATGGACGCACCTACTTTTACCATTCCAACCACAGCAGTAACACTGTGTGGTTTATTAAAGAAGTCACATCCCCTAATCATGTATAGGTGGCAGGTGGTTGTTGGTGAGACAAGTAGCACAATGTGAAAATTTCAATTAAAATACAGTAATTTCTGAGTGACTGTCGACATATCAGTAAATAAAACTCTAAGAGTTCAGCAAAGAGAAAAAACCAGAAAAGAGGCTCCTGGCAAGAATGTGCTGTAGAAGAAATGCATTGTACAGGGTAGTGGGATTTGCGTGGTTAGTTCTGCATAGGCCAAGTGCTGTGAGTGCTGTAAAGATAATGTAAATGGAACTGGGACCACATTCTGAAGAATCTTGCATGGTTCTCTGCCATCTAGCATCAGTGAAGTGGTGCCAGCATTGTCCGTGAAGGCCGCCAGGGGGTGAGAATTAGCTATTAGGAAAGAAACTATCTGAGAGATGCAGAATGCCCTGAGCCCCTCCTAAGAACCCCCATCCCTGAAAATATCTGACTCTTCAGTGTTTAACTTCTGTGGACTGTAATTAATTAAATTGTATTTTAGTTAGTTGATTGTCTGAAATTTGAATTAAGGCCTTTTTTTAAATGTGGGCCAATAATGGAAAGCATTGTTAAAAAATACTTGCTAAAATAAAAGTTAGAATTTGTTCTAAAGGACAGAGTTACATTGAAGGGGAGCTTATTATGGTAATAAATCTCCAGTTTATGATTTTATGTCATGTTTTTATGCCATGTTTCAAGAAAGCAGATCAATCACCAGGAAGGGTGAGATAGGTCAAGAAACAATAATATTAAAGCAAAGAGAGTTGTAGATAAAACACATCAAACTTAAAAGAAGAACAAGACCTGCACTGCACTGAAGTTTTTTGTTATTTTTTTTTTAAAAAAAAAAGGCAAGTTAAATGACAGTAACATTCCTCTGTCGCTGCAATGGCGTGGGAGCTAGGAAAATGACTTCAAGATGGGACTCAGCATGTGAGTTTTTATTCCACATCCAGAGATTAACAGAACTTCACCAAGTTTAGTTAAACATCGAATGAGCAGATGAGGCTAGAAAAGGCATCCAGGTGCCATGAGCACTTTGTATCCAGAGATGTGGCTTTGGGTCTTCCTCTGAAAAAATATAATGCTTTCCAGAGGCAGACGTGTGTGAAGGGGAGTAAAAAATAGTTATTACAGTTTGGGTATGGATCACAGATGAAGAGAAAGAGAGGCAGAAATTAAACAGGACCAATATAAGTTAGAAAATAAAGAAGAGCCAAAGTACTTCAGGATCACGAAATCAAACAAAATGTGAGTTTTAAACACACAGATAAAAAGAGAGGTGTGTGTGTTTGGTGGGGGGGGGGGGGGGAACGGATCACTTTCTCCTTATCCAGCTGGGATCCAGTCCTGGGCTGTTTTCCCTGAGTCTCCAAGCACTCGCTGGACTGGATGTGCACCCGTCTTTGCCTCTAGTTTTTGAGGCTTTCTGGCTTTGACTGACCTCACTGTATTTCCCCTCTGAGACTCTCCCGAACCCGAAAGGAACATTTTTAGGTTAGCTGGAACCTTAGTGGTTATCGGAATTGTGCAGGCTGCTGTGAGTAAGTCCATGAAGGAACTGGATGGCGTGCGCGAATCCCAGCTTTGCACGGGTGTCCAGAGCCAGCCGAGCTCTGCCGCATCACACACACAAGTTACTGAAAGATCACACTTAACAAATATCTCTTTCTCTTGAGCAGAGTGAACATTTCCCTTTTCCCTTTTGAAATCAGATCTCGACCCCTTTCCTCCTGAGGAGCGTCCAGAGGTCAAAGTGAAGGAGGGGAAAGGCATGGTGCTTCTCTGCAATCCTCCCTACCACTTTCCAGGTAAAAGGAGTGTCTTGGACTTTGGACCCCTAGGGAATTAAATGAGGACCTCTGAGTGTTCTAAGTATGCTAGTATGATAGATATGCTAATAATGATAGTATGCTAATAATTACTTAATTTTTCTAACAATCATGTCCCATCTTTAATTTAATGAGGTGTATTCTTTGCATTTGTTGTGTGAACTTTTCCTGCACACCCCGAAGAAAGAATTCCACCCAAGACTAGCTTGGTGAACCAATGAATTTAACTAGTGTCCCTTACAGGAATATGGGAGAGGTGTTATTTACATCAGCATGGGCAACTTCAGAACAGCTCCACCACTGGAGAAAATGTCTTTCCTCCAGCAGTCACTCACTTCCTATGAGATGTTAGGAAGGGGTGGAACCGGGTGACCTCTTCCTCTAGAACGTTAAGTGTACCAGTCTCAAGCAGGTATCATGCAGGTAAACATGGCTACTGAGGATTCCTTAGAATAACGGCTGTGCCATGCCCCTAGGACAGCGTTCCACAACAGATCACTTTGTGGTCATCACATCTACAGGCGGTTATAGATACTTTTCTGTCTGGGCTCCTTAGTCACTTGGCCTAATCCTAAGGTTTTCTAGTCATTTTAGTTTATAAATAATAAGTATATTGGATTGTGCCCTAGTTAAATTTCCTATTATATAGGAGAAATTATGAAAGGTTTTCCAGAAATTATGTTAAATATTCAGAAATAGAACAGCACTAAGGAATGATGTATGGTCAATCAGTTTTTCAATTTAGTATCTGCAATATACTGTGAATTATAACTAAGCACTAGAAAGGGATAAAGACATGATAAATTATTTATGTCCTTAGAGTCACTGATCTATGGGAATAATTGTGCACTTCAGAAAGGGAACAAATTAAAAATCATATGTTAAAAATTCAACTTTGAATACGTATTTCTTTCATTTATATGGTTAAAATAAAGACTACTCTAGTATATATTCATAGTCTTGTTTTCATTTGTTTTATTTATGCCCCTGACAATGAAATAAATGTTTTATGCTTTTATATATTAAATGTGACTTAAAACATACCCATAGGAAATGAAACACAGAACACTGTGCTATAAGTAATTTTGTGTGGAATGCACTGACTCTATATGTATTCATAGACACATACACATATGTATTTCACCCAAAATTATACACATTCATTACATGTTAATTTTCATGTATATGAAATTTCATATGCATATATATATATATATATATTTCTAGTTGCTTATAAAATACTGGTAATTTTCTCTGTACTGCAAGAAAAGCAATTAATTAGCTCACATAGGAGGGGCGTGTTTACAGTGTTATAACAGGCTTCCAGCAGAGAGTAGGTTTTTGCTAGAGGAATTGCCAAAACTGTGAGTAAATCCCTCTCCTCTTCACAGTATTTCCCACAAACAAGGCAATGGCTGCCTGGTGACTCCCTTTGCCTACTCAACAATGGACTAGCTCCAATGACTAAGAGAAACCCTTATGAGTGCTTTCTCTCAACTAGAGGCTGCTTGTTTCACAGGACACACCAGCAGAACAGAACAGTAAAAGCTGCCAGCCCTCAGAGACCCTCTGTGGTGACAGGAACACTTAAAAGATATAGGATAAAAGAGAGGGGAAGAAGAGGAAAGAGTGGGGTTTAAGTTAGATTTTAGAAAGGGCCTTGTTAGGAAGGGACTGTTGACGAAAACCATAAGGAAGTGAAGGAGCTAATAGTATAAACGTCTTAGAGGACATTCCAGGCAGGTGAGGCTAAAAGATCAAGGGCTGAGGCAGGACCATTGGTGAAATGCCAGTCAGAGTACCCGCAGTAGTGGGAATGACCTAGAAGGCAGTAAGAAATGTAATGGGAGTTCCAGGAGCTGTGCTGTGGAGGATGTCATCATGTGTGTACAGCAACCATGTGCATATACTTTCAGTGAGATTTGCACTCAGAGTGTTGAGCAGAGGAGCCACATGACATGCATGGTAACTGTTTTAAGAAGGGTTGGAGCAGTGGTTCTCACACTGGGTTGCACCTTCACATGGGTTGCATATCAGATATTTACAATACAATTCATAACAGTAGCAAAATTAGGGAATTCTTTTTTTCCTTTGCCTAATATTTTGATTGTTTTTGTTTTGTTTTCTAAGTTTATTACATACAATATTGTGGTAGTTGGAATGTAATTGGCCCTATAAGCTCATAGGGAGTGGCACTATTGGGAAGTGTGGCCTTGTTGAAGTAGGCATGGCCTTGTTGGAGGAAGTGTCACGGTGGGGGTAGGCTTTGAGGTCTCTTTTGCTTAAGTGTCACAGTCCACTTTCTGTTGCCTTCTGATCAAGATGTAGCTAGCACCATGTCTGCCTGCATGCCACCATGCTCCCTGCCGTGACGAAAGTGGACTAAACCTTTGAAACCGTAAGCCACCACCTCAATGAAATGTTTTCCTTTATAAGAGTTGCCATGGTAGTAGTGTCTCTTCACAGCAATAGAAACCCTTACTAACACAAATATATTTTATAATGTTCTTTCCACTTCCCCAACTAGTGCTACCTAGATCCTCTCTACCCCCTACCCATTCAGCTTCATAGTCTCCCTCCCTCCCTCTCTCTCTGTCTCTTTCCCTCATAACAAAAACAATGGCAAAAAGTCAAAAGACACCCCCTACAAAAAAAAAGACAAAAAGCACCAAAACAAAACATACACACACACACACACACACACACACACACACACACAAATGTAGAATAGATTTTATGTTTGTCAACTATTCAACCCTGGAGTGTGGTTGATGTATCAAGTGAAAGTAACATGCTGTTGGAGAAACTAGCTTCTTTACCCATTCTCATCAGATATCAGTTACAAATAGCTTCTTTTTTAGAGCTGGGACTTGAGTCCACTTTTCTGTCTTCTTGGATTTTTTTCCTGGTTTGAGCCTATACATGTCATAACAATTCTTGTGAATTTATGTGTGTATCAGTCCTGTTGTGTCTGAATGATGCTGTTTCCCTGGAGACATCCAACACCTTTGGCTCTTATAATCTTTCTGCCTCCTCTTCCCCATAGATTCCCGAGTCTTGACAGCAGACATTTGGTGAACATATCCCATTTAAGGCTGAGTGCTCCAAAGCCTATCATTGTCTGCACATTGTCTACTTGTGGGACTTGATGTCAGCTATCTACTTCAAGAAGAAGCTTCTCTGATGAGGGCTGAATGAGGGACTGATCTAAGCAGAATATCATTAGGAATAATTTTATTGCTATGTTTCTTTAGCAGAATATTAGTTGTATGTTATCTTAGTCGGAGTTTCTGTTGCTGTGATGAAACACCATGACCAAAAAGCAAGTGGGGAAGGAAAGGGTTTATTCAACTTATTCTTCCACATCACTGTTTATTAGCAAAAGAAGGCAGGCCAGGAACTCATACAGGGCAGGAACCTGGAGGCAGGAACTGATGCAGAGACCATGGAGGGGTGCTGCTTACTGGCTTGCTCCTCATGGCTTGCTCAGCCCACTTTCTTAAATAACCCAGAACCACTAGCCCAGGAATGGCACCACCCACAATGGGCTGTGCCCTCTTATATCCATCATTAATTAAGAAAATGTCCTATAGGATTGCCTGCAGCCTGATCTCATTGGGAATTTTCTCAGTTGAGGCTCCCTCATTTCAGATGACTTTTGCTTGTGACAAGTTGACATAAAACTGTCCAGGACATGTTTCCCCCTAGTGCCATCACCTAATTAGTCCCAGGTTTGGGGCCATTTTAGTAGTGTTAAGTAGGGATTCTTTATCATGGAGCAGACCTTCAATCTAATGTTTGAAAGTGGCTGTGTACTTCCATTACGTTTGCACCATTTTTTGCACCAGTATATCTTGCCGGTAGGTCTCTATTGTAGGTTGCAGGGTTGGTAGCTACGTGAGATGGTGATTACTCTCTCTTCCAGTAGCTTGAAAAGTAGCTTCCAGCACCACAAATGCTAGTAAGTAGAGATGAAGCTTTTAATTGGGCACAATTTGATTTATCTACATTCTGTGACATAAGTGAGTTGTGTCTTCAGCTGTAGGACATTGCTGTCAGGTTGTAGAGGGTAATCAATGCCTTGTCAATACCCTCTTGTGTTTGTGAGGGTCTATTGGGAACCCTTTGATAAACCATTCAGCAAGATATTATCCATTCCTGACACTGGATATTTTACTTGGTGGTGCAGAATGCCTAGTTGGGACATTGCCGCCTCCATTATGATTCCTTTTACATTTCTTCCATAGATGTATATAAATTAGAAAGCTTCTGGAGTAGTAGGTTTCCAAAAGACTTCTACTGTTAGTTGTCCTTCTCAACATTCCCCCTTTTACCCTGCACTCTTATTCATCTGCCTATTAAATCCCCCTATTTAGTTTCTCCTTTGTTTATAACACTATATTTTATTTCCCTTTCCTCAGAATAGCTCCCTGCTCCTGCTCTCTGACCTCTTCCAGTTACATAGCCTCTGTGGTTATTCGCATTGAAACACACATATCTAAAGTTTAAAATCTAACATCCAAATAGAAAAGAAAACATGCAGTATTTGTTTTTTGAGGATCTTTTTTGCTTCACTCAGGATATTTTTTTTCTAGCTCCATTCATTTACATGCAGACTTCATAATTTTATTTTTCTTAACAGCTGGGTGATATTCTGCTGTGTAAGTTACCATGGTTTTTTATTTCCCATTCGTCAGTTGGTGGACATCTAGGTTGTTTCCAGATTATGGGTTTGATGAATGTAATAGCAGTGAATGTGCTGTTTTTTATTACTATAAATCTGACGTACTACTTGAAATTTGGAATGCTGATACCCCCAGCATTTCATTTATTGTCTAGGATTATTTTATCTATTCTGGGTTTTTTTTTTTTTATTTTACATGAAGTGTAAGATTTTTTCCAGTTTCTTGAAGATTGTGTTGGAATTGTGTTGATTGGGATTGCATTAAATCTGTGTATTTCTTTCAGTGGGATAGCCATTTGCATAATTGGTAAATACTACCAATCCATGAGTATGGAATATATTTGCGACTTCTGGTTTCTTCTTCAGTTTCTTTTTTTTTTTTTTTTTAGTGCCTTAAATGGTTTATTATACAAGTTTTTCTCTTGCTGGGATAAAGTTAAATAGGAAGGATACTGATTTTTTGTGTGTTTATTTTACATCCTGCTACTTTGCTGAAATTATTTATTGCTATAGAAGCTTCTTGGTGGACTTTTTAATCATCTTTTATGTATAAAATAATAATTTCATCTGCAAGTAAGGATACCTTGACATCTTCCTTCCTTTTATTTTCACTCAATTCTAGAAAGATTTTAATTTCCTTTTAAATTGATGTCTTGACCGGGTTTTTATTCAGTAGTTATTTGTTCAGCTACCATGAGTTTGTATACTTTCTGCCATTTATTGTTATTGATATCCAGGTTTTACCCCATGGTGGTCAAATAGGATGCTGTTACTTCAATTTTCCTGTATCTGTTGAGATTTGCTTTGTGTCCTAATATAATTTTGAAGAAATTTTGGATGATTTTAGAGAAAGTTTCATGATCTTCTCAGAAGGATATATATTCTTTATTGTCTGGGGTAATATTTTGTTAATGCCACTAGGTCCTTTAGGTTTATGACATTATTAATGTGAGCATTTTTCTGTTTGTTTGTTTGTTTGTTTTTTCTATATGACCTGTCTATTGAAGTCACCCACTGTCATTGTGTTATGGTCAGTATCTGATTTTAACTGTAGTAGTGTTTCTTTTATTATCTTGGGTGCCCGTGTGCTGGGTGCATAGATGTTTACAATAGTAATGATCTCTTAGTGGATTTTTTTCCCTCTAATGACTATGGAGTTCAGAAGAAATATCAATCTCTTCTAATTAGGTTTGGTTTGAAATCTGTTTTGCCAACTACTGAGATAGTTATGCCTCCTTGTTTCTTGGTACCTTCAGCTTAGAATATCTTTTTCCATCTTTTTATCCTAAGGTGACATCTGTCTTTGGTTATGAGGTATGTGTCTTCAATGAAGCAGAAAGAAAGATCCTGTTTTCTCATCCAATCTGCTAGTCTGTGTCTTTTTACTGGGAAATTGAATTCATTAATATTGGGAATTATTAATGAGTAGTGTTTATTAATTAATGTTATTTTGTTATGGTGTGGTTGTTTCCCTTTCTTTTGATGAACTGTTTTGTGAATATTTATTTCATGTGTCCTCATGGGTGTAGCTAACCTTCTCTTCACACTGACATTTTCCATTCAGTTCCTTCTGTAGAGTCGAATTAGTGCAAGGAAATTGCTTAAATTTGTTTTCATCATGAGATGTTTTTCTTTCTCTGTCAACTGTGAAAGATAGTTTTTAGGTATAGTTCTTGGGGACAGCATTTGTGATCTCAGAGTTTGTAGAGCATCCATCCAGACCCATTGAGTTTTCAAAGTCTCCATTGAAAAATCAGGTGTTATTCTAATGGGTCTGTATTTATATGTGATTTGTTTGTTTGTTTGTTTTGTTTTGTTTTTACTTTGTAGCTTTTAATATTTTTTCTCTGTTCTGTCCACTAAGTGTTTTTATATTTTTGGTTGTGAGCCTAGCCTGTAACGGCTGAGCCATCTCTCCAGCCCCACTTAGTGTTTTTAATTACTATGTGTTGTGACAGAAAATTTCTTTACTGGTCCTATTAGGAATTATGCATGCATGTCATTACTTGATAGAAATGTGTTTCTTTAGATCAGGGAATTTTCTTTTATGGTTTTGTTAATATATACATGTATATGTATTATATATGTATATATTATGTGCCTTTGGCTTGGGGTTTTTCTCTTTCCTCTATATCTGTTATTTGTAGATTTGGTCTTTTCATAGTATCCCAGATTTTCTAAAGGTTTGAAGCCTGTTTTTGTTGTTTTACATTTTGCGTTTTTTTTTTTTTTTTGACTGAGCTACCCATTTCCTCTATCCTGTCTTCCATACTCAAAACCATCTTCCACATCTTGAACCTCATTGGTGAGGCTGACCTCTGAGATTTTTGTTTGATATCTTGTTGTTCTTTATTTTTAGTTTTTAGTTTGAATTTTCTTTAGTGATTCTATTTTTTGTTTGTTTTTTAAATTCTACTTTCATGTTTTGATTTGTTTTCATTATTTCATTCAACTGTGTTCTCATGGACTTCATTCATATTTATTCATATCCGCTTTAAGGTCATTGGAAAATATTCATAATTGGTATTTTTGATGCTCTTTTTTTATGCCCTTCAGTTAAATTGCTTTTCTCAGGGCATATTACAATATGGTTGCTGACTTTTGGAGGAGGCATACTGTCATGGTTATTCATGTTCATGTTTTGGAAGATAGGCATCTGGAGTTGCCATGTTTGAAGTAATTCTGTTTTTTTTTTTTTTTTTTTTTTTTGGTTTTTTGAGACAGGGTTTCTCTGTGTAGCTTTGCGCCTTCCCTGGGACTCACTTGGTAGTCCAGGCTGGCCTCGAATTCACAGAGATCCGCCTGGCTCTGCCTCCCGAGTGCTGGGATTAAAGGCGTGCGCCACCACCGCCCGGCAAGTAATTCTTGAAGTAGGTATCCACTCTTGTCTAGGTTAGCCATTGCTTACTATGGGTTCCATCAGTGTGTGGGGAACTATGGCGTCTCTGATTCCCAGCCAAGAAACGTGGTTGTGTGGTCCCTGGTGAGAGTGATTCTGTGGTTCCATCCAGAGTCAAAGGAATGGAGATGCACTAGAAGGAATGGCAGAAGTGGAAGTGGAGAAGAACTAGGGGACCCTGGACCCTGAGTCCTGCCTAAAGACCTAGTCTCATGGGGTGACGGTGGGCTAGGAGGAGGGACTGAGCCAATTGGGTGGCAGCAGGTTTAAGAGAAAGAGTAGAGAGACTTGAATGGAAGATGTGAAGGAGAATAAAGCTCGCCTACCTGAGTCCCAGCCAAATATGGAAGCTGTGCGTCCCTGGTGGAGCTGTCTTCAATTTCAGCAGGCACACACAAATAGAATGAATTATTTTTTAAAGATAATTCTATTACATATTGCCTAATATTAAGAAAACCAGCAACATGCTTTTCTTCCATTTGTGTGATTTTATTTATTTATTTATTTATGGTTTTTTGAGACAGGGTCTCACTGTGTAGCTTTGGAGCCTGTTGTGGAACTTGCTCTGTAGACCAGGCTGGCTTCGAACTCACAGAGATCTGCTGCCTCTGCCTTCTGAGTGCTGGGATTAATGGCATGCACCATCACTGCCCGGCTGTGGTTTTTATTTTTTAATATGACAATTTCGAAGCACTGAAACCAGAGATCTAGCCAATAAGCTGAGTTGCCTTGAGCTTATTTATGAATTTGAGTAGGAAAGACATACTATGAGCTGTGTAACTATCAGACCTGCATTCAGATTCTCAGTTCTCCTTAACAGTCATGAACACTCTGTGAAAGTTGTTTAACCCATTTCAGTTAATTCACCAATGAAATGGAAGCAAGAATGTTGAAACCCTGGGAAGTGCTAGAGATAGATTGTTGATAGATACAGAAAGAGATATTCAATTGTTTACTATGACAATTATATTCTTGAAAATATGGTAGTTATGAGAAAATGTATTCTGGCTCAAGTTCCAATATTTACTGATAGATATATAACCTCTGACAGACTGTATGCTGGTTTGTAATTAGGAAACAAAATCTTTGCTTACAAAGAAGAGCTTACTATTTAGTGGACAATATTTTCTTCTAGATGATCTTAGCTACCGCTGGCTCCTGAATGAATTTCCTGTATTTATCACAATGGATAAACGAAGATTTGTGTCTCAGACAAATGGCAATCTCTACATTGCCAACGTTGAGTCTTCTGATAGAGGCAACTACTCCTGCTTTGTGTCCAGTCCTTCTATTACAAAAAGTGTGTTCAGCAAATTTATACCTCTCATTCCAATACCTGAACGTAAGTATCTCATTTGTTACACTATTTTCACACAGTTATCTGTTTATAGTACATTTACAATAATGATATGCTGTTTTCCTGGGGAGGGCAGCATATAGAGTATGCGGGGTGGATGACTTAGTCTCTAACATTTGAAGTTCAATTTCATTCATAAAGTTACCCTAAAATGGCTGAGTTCATATTCATTGCTTCTAGCTTAGGAAGTATATGGAGGGTTGATTTATTAGTTCAGGGCCCCCACAGAATTACCATGGAAATATCTGGGATCTGCTTTTTGCTTCATGACCGTTTCCACTTGATAGTAAATTTGTAATCACATAATTAGAAAAAGATATTGATGATTTTAAGGAACTATTTACATGGTACAAATAAATATAAATAATTGCCATTTCTGCTTTAAGTAATTAGTATATGTTACTGTAACCTGTGTGCTGGGGTCATACTCCACCTCCATTTTAAACTTTGAAAATTTTTTCCATAAATTTTGAACATGCACACTACTTGAGGTGCGCTTCATCACACCACAGCATGTGTGTTTCTCTGATCCCACCTTAACCCTAGCTCTTCTGCTACGTTAGCAGTAGTGAATGCACTCTTCAAAACTGACCTGGTTGCTGCCTCTCTTCCCATAAATGTGTGAAGTGCCACAGTGCCACTGGCATTCATTCCCCTGTCCCTTCTCCTTGTCAGGAAACAGTCACATCGTTGATATTCAGCAAACACTGTTTGACTTTCTGGCTTCACTGTTTCCAAGGTCCAATGTGCCCTCTGGAAACGGGCCTGGATTACCTTTCCTAGTCTGTTTCATAAGTGCACTTCCCCTCCATCTTCTACACATCTTCTTACCTCCTGTCTCAGTGGTGAACAGATTTCTACAGCCAATCCCTTCAGCTGCTCTGGCTCGCATCCCATTTGGTTCCGGACTTCCCCAAATCACTTCTTCTCCTGTACTCTCTCAGGATCTGATCTTCTCATTCTGCATGTTCTTTCCTATTCAACAAAGGCTATCTAGAATAATCATAAGAAACTCATATTTATTCAATTGAAGGGCAGTTTTCAGACCCCATTCTTTTCGGTATTTGACATTTTTCATCTGCCTCTCACAGATTTTCCTCTCCTTTTCTCAAGGCTCACCTCCCTCTTCTGGCATGTCTTATACAGCATGAATCACCAGATGTTCCTCTTTCTCATGTTTCTCTTTGGTTGTTATAGATATTTTCACTAAACTACATGTTTTTAGTTGTGGTCATGTGAATAGATTTTTCACATCTCTAATGTTTTCTTATGTTCAGGCTTTAGTTATATCTTCATCCTGGACTTGTCCCACAGAACTCTCAAGGATGTGAAGTGTTCAGAACATACCGATTGCGTTCCCACAAAGCCCCCTCTTCCTTCTAGTACTCTTCAGGCAGATTGGCTGTAACTGCTTGCGCTTCCTAACCAGCAACATTTGCATGCATCAGTTCTTCTCTTCCTCTGATGTTCCGAACAGCTAACTTTGTGGCTTTTAATTAAACCATATGTCAGCCACGTAGAAGTTCTCAGAAAAAAACATGAAATGCAAATTCTGATTACAGAAGCCTTAAACTGCTATCAAGGTCTCACCTTGAGTCAAAGGTAAGATCTAGACTACTCCTCTTACCAAATCCCACTGGCATTTACTCACTGACAAAATTGGTCTCAAAACATCCAATACTTTGTCCTCAGGCCTTTTGCTTTGTGCATTCAGCTGATCTTTAGGTCATATATTTTAACATTGTTTGACTTCCTCCATATTTTCTTTAATTCTCTGCATCGTCTTAGAGCTTTGTCAAGAACTGGTTCAATTCATTTCCATTTCAGTGCCTAAGATTCCCATAGCCACTCTGAAATTCTGAATTCCTTATTTGCTGACCACTCTTTCAGACTAATCATTTTGTTTTGCCTTCTGTATTGTCATGGTATGTTCATTTATTTACTTTATGCAGTATAAATACACACTCATGCTTTGGTGGTTAATACTGCATGAAGCCCTTTGGAGCCTGTTTCTACCAGTACATATTTCAGGACTGAACAATAGTGACATGTAATATCTGTAATGTAACATTAGCCCTCTCACAATAAGAGTGATCACGTTATGGTAATGGCCTCTCTCTGTCATTTCTCTTACTCCATTTCCTTAGTTTCTGAGGATAATTCTTTCTTCCATTTCTCTTTGCTCAATCCACCTCTTTTTCTCCCTTCCTTCTCTTTCTTCCCTTGCACTTTTCGTATTCCCATTTCTTTCTTCTTTTCCAACATTTTCAAGCACCTTATAAGCACTGATCACAGTATTTTATACATGTTTGAAGCCCCTTAAAAGGGACCTTGAAATTTTGTAGTTGACTTAGTCTGATCAGTTACAGGTATCAGAATGTGTGATGAAATTCATACTTGCACACATTGTACGTAAACAAACAAATCTATATATTGGGACAAATGATACCTGTGTAGAGAAAAATGTCCATATTGGTGCAGTTCTAAACTACAGAATTTCATGATGTTAAAAAAAAGAAAAAATATATATATATATGTATATATATAGTGAATTATATATTATGGGTGTCTTGTTTTCTTTTCTTTCTTTCTTTTTTAATATTAGGAACAACAAAGCCATATCCTGCTGATATTGTAGTGCAGTTCAAGGACATATATACCATGATGGGCCAAAATGTGACTTTAGAGTGTTTTGCTCTTGGAAAGTAAGTATGCTTGTGCTTTTCATTGACATGCATAGAAACAAGTAGGTGTTATGCCTTTTCAGGAAATAAATGACGTAAGTACTTAGTTATAAATGCCAGGCCGTCTTCTTTAAACACTGTGGATCTTGAGCTTTTGTGTTTTCGATTTCAAGTCCTGTTCCTGATATCCGATGGCGAAAGGTGCTAGAACCAATGCCTAGTACTGCTGAGATAAGTACTTCAGGGGCTGTCCTCAAGATTTTCAACATCCAGTTAGAAGATGAAGGCATCTATGAATGTGAGGCTGAGAACATTAGAGGAAAGGACAAACACCAGGCAAGAATTTATGTGCAAGGTAGGTATTTTAATTTTCTATGAGTGCTACCAATGTCTTATTCAAAGGCATTTCCATACTTGAAGAACTATCATAGAATTACAGTTTTAAAAGAAATGATATATATTATATTATTCAGATAAGTGAGATATTTACCTTATGTCAAATTACATTACAACTCTAAGTTACAGCCAGTATGAGCTTATACTTTTGATATCAATAGATTGATAGTTGTTGATAATTTAAAAAAAAACAATGTTGCTCATTTAATCTTCTATCATTCTCTTTTCTTCAGTATCTTTATTTATAGAAGAACCTATGCATTATGGCTTAAAGTTTGAGTCAGTGGTTTGCAAGGTTTAATATGTCGCAAAATTCCCTGAGGGGCTTGATAAGGTATTGGCTGTTGGGCCTTCCTTAGAATTTCTGACTCAGAAGAATACTGGGAGCTTCAGAATATGTATTTCTTAAAAATCCCCAGATGCTTATGTTACTGAAGCTAGAGAACCCCTGGTGTAAGGAATCATCTCTTTTTACTTTAACAAAATTATTTTGGTGCAAGTCCTTGATCCTCACCCACCAGAGTAAGCATATCCAGGAAGACAGAATTTTTTTTGGCAGAATTTAATTTTTTCATAAAATTTATTAAATTTTGTTTACGTGTATAGGTGTTTTGCCTGCATGTATTTATGTGTATTGCATGTATGCCTGGTGCCTGCAGAGGCCAGAAGAGGGTATTAGATCCCCTGCAACTGTAGTTACTGATGGTTATAAATGCCATGTGCATACTGAGAATTTAATACAAGTCTTCTACAAGAGCAACACATGCTCTTAATCACAGAGTCATGTCTCTAGGCTCAGAATTTCTTGAGAATGAAATCACTATTGTAACTTTCCATAATATGGAATTAACACTAGGTTTCAGTAAATTCATTCTGATTTTTTGTTTGTCAGTTTGTTCTGTGACATGGTCTCTTACTATGTCCCAGTGGTCCTGTAACTCCCTATCTAGACCACACTGACCCCCAAACCACAGCAATTCACTTGTCTCTGCCTCCTGCTGTTTTGCTGTGTTTTCAACACTGGTTAATGCTCTGTTTATCTTCTGTTAGTCTCTCCCAAACATAAATTTTGACAGACTCATCTGAAGTCTAAAAAGATTGTCTCCATATCCAGTTGTAGTCTGTCTTAATTCACTCCAATGTTTTTCTCGTGAGTACTTTTTTTTTTTCAAATTTTCACATGTGCATATCTTCCAAGGGACTTTCACTCAATTATTATTTTTTATTTTTTATTAAAAGATTACTTGTTACTGAAACCTTTCTTCTATAGTCACCCAGAATATCCGGTTGCTATAGCTGATCATTTCTCAGCTCTATCTGATCAGATATTACAGCATCAGCAGCCACACTTATCCACCTCTCCTCTCTGCTTCATTTTCTGTGCTTGGCACCTTGACCCCACACTTCATTTACACGTACCGCTTTCATGTCCCCTTCACAGTCCTCCTATCCACACCATTTTCACACTGAGTGATCAGAATCAGTAATTGACCTTCTCTGTATCCTTCTGTGGTTTCATCTATGAACACAATTTTAAAAATCCACAGCCTTGGAGATCTTGTGGGGCGTTTACCCACCACCCCCACAGTTCCCCAGAGTTTTCTTGAGTGCGAGCAGCAGGAAATATTAGATAGAAGGATTTATTGAGAACATTGCAGAGATAAACAGATAGAAAATAAAGGATAGCCTCGAGAGGGCCTAGAACCTTTTCCAACAGGCCCTGACTGTCTCTGCTCCAGGGTTTTTATAGAGACACCAAGGGGTGGAGCAAAAGACCTCCTCCCCCAGCACAGCCAAGCGCAGACCATCCCAGACACCTGCACTTAGGCCCGTGGTCTAATCATCCTCTATGCGGACCTGCTGGGTAAAGCCACAAGGAACCCGAGAACGGGCTCCCACAAGATCTAATCTAGATATGTCCGCAGAGCTACAGACTTGACTATCCAATGGCTTAACCTCATTAACATGACACATAGCAAGTGTGTGTGAAATGGCTTCCAATGGAAGGAAAATATTTGTGGGCCGCTTGAATGTCTTGAATGATATCACCATTTTTGCACTGGGTCCATTGATTACAGATAAGGTTTTTTCAATGCATTTAGAAAACATCAGGTTCTCAGTGGAGCAAAATTCTGAACTGTCAAATATCTAAGGCCTTGAAAGAATCAATGTGACAGCAGGTATTTTTATGAGGTCATTTGAAGGAGCTTCATTTCTCCTTTACTAGTAAGATATCTTAATTCTGTATGTTTAAGCAAACTATCTTCAAAAACTATGTAATGGAAGTGCATATGGAGTTTGCTGTGGTGATTCTATTATTTATTTTTACCATTGTATTATATATTGTGACATCTATGTATCACTCTGGGGGAACAAGGTAGCAAAGATGTCATTAAAGTGCCGAAAAGATTCTGTGCAACATAAAATGTGTAGTCATCTAGAAAATTCACCAGCATTCAACTTCTGAAAGTTCTTCACAGATGTTACAACAAATGGTTAGTGAAAACAAGAAGCTAATCAGATTGTATACTATAAAGTATGCATAAAGAGACATGTGTTTCATCTGTGTGTTGGTTTAATATTGATAGTCTGTGGAGCTCAGAAAATATTTTCTGGTTTCATACATATACATTTGTAATAAGATGTGTATGGTACTTTCTAGAGACAATAGATATAAAACAAAGTTTAATTTTCAATAAAAAGGAAATAAAATGGTCTCCTCCCCTAAGAGTTCTCTCTGTGTTCCTTTTCTTATTTTATACTATTTACTTACATTTGTCTAGGCTGCTTAGATAGCTGAAATACTTAACAAGACGGCTTTTTCACATAGAAACATTCTTTTTCCTTTGAGGAAATTTCTAGCATTCTTTTTTCATTTTTTTTTTACAACAACCACATAGATAAAAATAAAAACTGAGAATGAAGTCCATTTCACTCAAGCAAGAGTTTCCCCAATGACAGCTACTGAAGGAGATGCTATAGGAAGTGTATTAAAGTGCCCTGTTCATTTTTATAGCTGGAATAAGATGCTACATTGGTCAATACACAAAAGCTCCATTAAGAAGATAATGTGTAATATGGAGAATGTAGAAAGTCCTAAATCTTGATCCAAAAGGTGAAAATACATGTATATTTTTATATAATATAATATATCATATATAATATAATATTTATATATATGTGTGCATATATATGTATGTATGTATGTATATATATATTATATATATACATAGCCAGTTGAGGCATAGCTCTTTTAAAAATCCCAGTTGTAATTTTGGCATATCTGAAAGATTCAAGTTATAAGGGACAAATCAATTAATTTAGCATTTATCTTGAATTAGCTTTTAAATTGATAAATTAAAAACACTATTTAACAGGGCTAGAAAGATGCTTCTGAAGTTAAAAGCACCCCTTGCTCTTTCATAGGACAGGAATGCAGTTCTCAGCCCCCATCTCAGGTGGCTCCAACTGTCTATAGCTCCAGCTCCAGGGGACCCAGTGCTCTCTGGCCTTTAGGATGCAGGCACACACATACACATACATAAAAATAAATAATTACTAACTAAACTACAGTCATCTTATTCTATGATAGTATATGTTTTTTTTATATAATATAGATCTTATAATATAGACCTGTGTAAGCAGACATACGACATCTGATATATTGGCCAGAATAGAGCTAACAAAATGCAAAATTTAGGCTCTTGAGAATATGATGGGTATTGAGACACTTGTAACGTTCCTCCTTTGCAGCATTTCCTGAATGGGTAGAGCATATCAATGACACCGAGGTGGACATAGGCAGTGACCTCTACTGGCCTTGTGTGGCCACAGGGAAGCCCATCCCGACCATCAGATGGCTGAAAAATGGATATGCAGTAAGTATGTTGAAGTGCCTGGCTGTCCCCGAATCCGTGTTCAGGCAGCCACAGAATGGTGGCTAGAGTAAGAGGTTTGGGGCCTTGAAGTAGAAATCTTCCTTGAAAAACAAAAGTAACTTCTCTCGGTTTCAGCAGCTTTCTGTAATCGTATCTTTACCTCTCTCTTTTTTTCCTTATTTTTCCTGTGTTCCACTCCCCCCTTCTGTTGAACCATGTCCACTCATATTGTCCCTCCTTGCCACTGTTTCCCTGAACCCCACAGAAACAGAGGTAAGAGAGACGCGCTAAGTCCTACCCTAGCCTGGACAAGTGGCAGCGGTGGGCCCCTTCTCTACCTTCCCACTCTAATCTCACAGCTGGTCCAAAGGGGGGAAAAGTGGACTCTCAGCTCTGTAAGATGAATAGAACAAGGGCCACTGGGCATGGTAAGTGGGTTGGTCTTCTCCATGCCGTGGAAACCCCAGTCTGTGCATCTTAGGAGAGAATGGGAGTGGATGAACACAACGTATGTTCAGCGTTAACCTAAAGGTGGATGGAGAGTTTACATCCATGTTCCTCAAAGCCATGCCTTTTCTCTTACTCTTCAGTATCACAAAGGGGAACTGAGACTGTATGATGTGACTTTTGATAATGCTGGGATGTACCAGTGCATAGCGGAAAACGCATACGGATCCATTTATGCAAACGCCGAGCTCAAGATCCTAGGTCAGTATCCTTTCCAAATTCTGATAAATGTTTATCAAACATATAAAATGGTGAAAGAGTATCCATAGCTCACATTCAATTATCACTTTACTTTTGTTGGATGCACGACACACATTGGTTACATGTTTATGGATTGCCAGTTATTAAAATTCACACTAAAGGAACAATGAAATAGACTAAATATTTGCTGTGAAAAGCGACTTCCTCAGAGCAGCTGCTGTAGTAGCAACACTCAGAACTTGTTATGTGTGCATAATCCAGTCCCAGCATCAAGCTACCTACCAAGCAGACATTTTAATAAGATGCTCAGATGATTTTGATAGGCAGTTATAGTTTAAGAATCACTAAACTAAATGATAAGGAGTCAAATGCACACCAGCCTGAAAAGTGTCCCCAGAAGAGATGGGCTGCAGATGACTGGAACACATTGTGTCTAATAGCCATGGTGATTGAGCAGTGAACTAGACAGAGGAACTTGGAAGGCATAGAGCATACCTTCACTGGGGTTACCAGCTATAAGACTCCGTGTCTTGACTTCACAATTACTATTCTGAGCTACAGCTTGAAGATAAACTTGGGCTATGTCATGTGCTCCTTAACCAATTGTTTGGGTCCACTATTCTCCTAGCTGTCTGTATAGGTTCTGAAGAACTGGATTTGTTCCTCAAAGAGTGTATGCATTCTGTTGGTGCATAGTGAATAGACAGTTAAGTGGGATTCCATTTTTCATTGAAAAGAGATTTCCTAGTCAAATATTAATTCTACCTGTCAACTACCTGTGACACCATAAAAAATTGTACCAATTTAGTAGATTGCAATTCTCCCATTAGTATCTTGAGGTATACTGAGTGGAAGGACTGTGAGCATATGTGAAAATTTATATGAATATAACATTTGTACACAGAGTTCTCTCCATCTTTTTCACTAACTTTCCCTTGTGAACATTAAAACAGAATGATTGAATTCAAGATACCTTTTAGGTGAACAGGTACATAACAAATGATTTAAACTAAAATATGTAGTGATTGATAAAGTTATCAGCAATTGTCCATTTGAACTGAGCAGATGTTATTAAATTACTGAATAAAAAGTTATGTATGAAATGCCCATCAACTATAACTGATCATATTTACCTCAGTCCTTCCTTTAGATTACTGATCTCTAAAAGGAGCTGCAATACAGAAGTAATATTTGGGTTTGCTAGCAAAAAAGAGAATGATAATCCTTTGTTTACCTTGTAGCTTTAGCTCCAACTTTTGAAATGAATCCCATGAAGAAAAAGATCTTGGCTGCTAAAGGAGGAAGAGTTATCATTGAATGTAAACCCAAGGCTGCACCCAAACCCAAGTTTTCATGGAGCAAAGGGACGGAGTGGCTTGTCAACAGCAGCAGGTCAGGTCAGACTGGGACTGAGCTGACGTTCACTGGCTCCTGGGCTCTTACAATGTTGCTGTGCTTAGTGTCTTTAAGAATTTAAAGTCAGCCTCATGGCTTCTTCATGGAGTCTCCAAGTTCAGTTTTTGATTGCTACTTTCACTCATTAGCAGCTCAGTGTCAACAATCACTTTGGAATAACGTGTTCATGTGCAAGAATTTTTGAATGTTGTAAATAATTATATATATATATATATATATATATATATATATGTAAATGTTTGTATTTGTAGATGATAAATACAAATATGAATTGCTTGAAATTAAAGTCTAAACAACATTCATTAAGAATAAATATAGTATTATCTGGACGAACATAGCTATAAAAAGTAGTGCAATAAAACAGTGACTCTTGGGCCTGCAGTGTGCCTGTTCCGTTTTCCCGCTCTGTGAAGAAGTATATGAAGGAATAAGTAGATCAAGTATGCAAGGCAGAAGCATAGTCATTTGTCATGATCAAGAGTCATGTGGTACCCAAGATTGAGCGTACTACAATTTGTAGGACTGGCAGGGCAGGAGGTCTTTAGCTCCAGCATACACAAACCTGACCAATGCCTTACATTTGATGCTACTATGGCTATAGCACCATTAGATGATAGGAGCTTTAGGGTTCCGTAATAGTCTCATAGGACTTATATGCAATCATATCACTGAGTAAAATGCACTGACTGAAATGTCATTGTATGATATAGGACTCTTTGAACATGGTAAAAATCAATTTAAAGTACATATATATTATATATAGTATATGCATATAACATATACTAAGTCATATATAGTTATATAGAAATACATATATATGTAAACTAATGTTAGTATGTATGGGTTTGGGGGAAATGTTATAGGTTTTCCACTGTTACTTGACTGTAATTTTTATTTCTGTGTTTGCAAAATAATTAAATGGGGGATGTGTAGAAGTTTGACAAGGACTTGAAGTTAGAGGACACATCAATATCATGTATTGTGGGAACATGTACAAAGAGCCAGATGCCAAGATAGGATAAGCCATCTAAGAGTGACATTTATTAGAGGCAATGTCTGGGAGAGAAAATAGAGACAGAGCTGGGTGGGGGTTGGAGAGACATTGGATGAGGTGCAGGCCGATTTCAGACAAGGAGAGTGTGAAGGAAGAGGCAAGATGATTTGATTGAACAGGTTTGGATTCTGCACAGTTCTAAGAGAGACTGAGGGGGGCCTAGGAAAGTGCTTTGGCCAAAAGTGCCTCTAAGAGGAGTCTCATGTCTACAAGAATCGACCTCATTGAAAAATCCACAGATTCCTGGTGGAGACAGCATCAGGCTGAAGTCTGTGGCCTTCATAAAGCACAGTGACCAGGTTTTTTGTGCAGGGCATGGGACAGTGGTTCATTACATTTCTTCATATTTGGCGAAAGAGGCCTGGTTTTGAATCCTCTTTAGTAACAAAGAAAGACTTGTTGTTGCGTTATCTCATTGCTTCATTTGTTATTTTAAAACAGATTCTGAAATAAGCTGTAAGTTAGAGCTGCCTAATGAAAGAGAAGGAAGGGAATCTTATTTCACATTGGAGTAGGATTTCAACATTGATCAGTAAGATAGAGATAGTCTGATTTTTTTGTCAGACTGTCCTTAAAAAGAACAAATAGTTTTGTTGCTTTTAAAAACTATAGAAGATAAAGTTTAGAAAATGGGGATTTAGTTAAACAAAGTAGAAGAGGTAACAGTATTTAATATTTAAGTATAAGACAATGTAAAATAAGAGACACATAGCCAAGCATTGGGCCACGTTCGGGGAATCCTGCTGAAGAGAGGGAGGAAGGGCTGTACCAGGCAGGGGGGTCAAGGACATCACAAGAAACCCCATAGAAACAGCTCACCTGGCCTCATAGGTGTACAGGTGAATCTGCCTTAGGACCTTAGCAGTTAGGTAAGGAAATGATGTACTTAGCTTCCCAGCACTCTACCAATGCCTAAGATTTTTTTGATTTTTTTGTCAGACTGTCCTACCCAGAGAGGACACTTGAGACAAAGGCTAGACTGCTTAGGCTTGAAATAATGTCTTACCAAGAAACTGGTATAAAATGTAATATTAGCATTTGTAATGCACAGTCCAATAATAATGCATGTTATTAAATGACTTCTATGAATTGTGTATTTTTTAATTTTATAGAATACTTATATGGGAAGATGGTAGCTTGGAAATCAATAATATTACAAGGAATGATGGAGGAGTCTATACGTGCTTTGCAGAAAATAATAGGGGGAAAGCTAATAGCACTGGGACTCTGGTGATCACAAGTAAGGAATCATTTGATATTTGATTTTTACAATTTTTATGCTTAAGTTATACAGGATTACATATATGTCATTCAAAACTAAGCTTCTAATACAGTCAATGTATTGATGAATTTTCATTTCGGAAGCCTTCTTGGCAAGTTTCTTCCTCTGCAGCATTGTTACTGGAAGTGGATATGAAAACATCATATTCCTTTGCAGAGAAGATCAGAATGTATTGGATTTTATTCCTTCTTTAACCTTTTTATTGAGGTTTTTCCTTTTACAATTTCACACATGTACAATGTGCATTCTGATTGATATAACCGCATCTCTAATACCCCTCCCCCCATTACCCTCTTCCTCTCTAAAAGTCCCCTCCTGACTCTGACAACTTTGTTATTGCTGTTTGGTGGTGGTGGCTGGGTTTGTTACTGTGTTAAGACCCACCGAGTCTGACCTGTGTCATCTGTGTGAACACGGTTTTGCACCTTTACCCGTTGGAACATGGCAGGCATCTCAACTGGACAGGAATGGCCCCTCCTCCAGAACCCATCAGTAGCCAATAATTACACGGGCAGAGGATGAGCCCCGTAAGCTCAGGCTTGGGTAGCCTCACTGTAGACCAACACAGCTGCTATGAAGTCATGGCTGCATTGGCTCTGCCGTGGCCAGAAGATAGCACTTTAGAACTCTTCTATCAACCAACTCTCCATTCTTTCCACCGCCTTCCTCTTTCCTTTATAAAGTTCTCTGGGCTTTGTAAGGAGTAGTATAAATATTCTGCTTAAGGGCTAAGCATCCAGCTGCCACTTATTTTCAGCACTTTAAGATGTCATGGACCTGTGTGTGCACGGCCATCCATCGCGGATACCTCTGATCCAAAGCTAGGAATAGCATTTGTCTATGGGTATAAACATAAAACTCTAGAAGGAAGTTTGGCATGATGACAACTTAGATGAACAATAGTATCAAGCTTGTTCCTAAGGTCTTAGACCGCCTCGGTCATGGGTTTTTGAGTGGGTTTATAATAACAGTTATGAATTGCTTAATGTGGGGCCAGCTTCAAATCCAATTAGAGCAGGTGGTTACACCCATAACAGTCATGCCACAATTGCATAAGTGGGCACATCTTCCCTGATGTTTATTGGTGTTATAGGCCATGGGGTTTATAGCTACATAAGACTGTTGATGCCTTAACTCACCCAGCACTCTATATAGCATCTTACAGCAACCTAAAAGCTAGGCTGCAGGGAGAAGACTTCCAGGCTCAGTTCCAGCTCCATTTCTCTATACCATGTAACAAAATTTTCATTCATAGGTTTTGCAAATTAGTTATAGTGACAAGGGCCCTGTATTATTTGGGACTCTCTGGCTCATGACCAACAAGTCATCATGAAGTATCACATATCTGCCACTACTGTTTCCTTAACTACCTTGATTTTCAAGAATAGCATTATCTAGATCAGAAGGATAGCTCCTCTCTCTCTCTCTCTCTCTCTCTCTCTCTCTCTCTCTCTCTCTCTCTCTCACACACACACACACACACACACACACACACATTCTAACATTCTATTTTTAAATGCATTTTTCATAAATCCTTAGTTTTGATTAACCCTTCTTGCATCCTCATCTCCCCCATCTTTTAACACCCATCCCTGGCTGGACTTCCCACCCCCCAAATTTCTTCTATTTGTTTTTATATCGCCTGTGAAATTCTATCCCCTTCCCCTTAAGGAATTTCTCCACCTCAGTGGTCCTTTTCTTGTTTTCTTACTTCTACAGATGTTCTAGTTTTAAACATGAAAATCTAAAGATTTGAAGCTAGGAACCATATATGATAGAATTTTTTTTAATCTTTCTGAGCCTGGGTTACTTGCTCATTGTGGGTTTTTTTTCCTAGTCTCACCAATTCACCTGAAAATTTCATACTTTCATTTTCCTCTGTAGCTGAACACAATTCTATTGTGTATGTACTACACATTTATTATCCATTCACCAGAGGATGGGCCCCTAGGGTAATTCCACTTCCTAGCTGGAGAAGCATTGAACAAAGATGTGACAGTATCTCAGGAGAAGCATGTGAAGCTCCTTGGGTGTATGCACAGGAGTGCGCCAGCCCTGTCATACAGGAGTTCTAGTTCTAGCTTTTCTAGGAACCACTACACTTATTTCCATAGTGGCTGCCATATTGTAAATAAGAGTTCCTTTGTATCTACATCCTTGACAACATTCATTGTCATTTGATATAGCCATTCTGACTAGGGTGAGATGGAATCTCAAAATAGTTTTCTCATTTCCCTAATGACTAAAGATGTTGAACATTTCTCTAATTGTTTATCAGCCACTTTTATTTCTTCTTTTGTGGGTACTCTTCAAATTGATGGCCCCCTTTTTGGATTGGGTTGTTTATTTTCTTGATGTTCAGTTTTTTGAGGTCTTTATGTATGTTAAATATTAACCTGTCAGAGATATAGCTGGCAAAGATGTTTTCCTATCCTGTAGGCTTCCTCTTCATTCGTAAATGGTTTACTTTGTTGTATAGAAATTTTTTAGTTTCATGAGATCTCATTTGTCAATTGTTGGTCTTATTCCCTGTGCTATAAGTGTATTACTAGAAACTATTTCTTGTTTCTATTTACTTAGACTATCTTTGCCCATCCCTTCACCCTAGGGTAGTGTATATCTTTGATAGAGAGGTATGTTTGTCAGGGATAGAAAAATGATGGATGCTGTTTTCTAATCCAGTCCGCAAGCATGTGTTGTTAGACTGAGGATAAAAAAAAATGGATTTTCAAAATTATTATTTAAAGTTGTGTGTTGATCTTTGTCATTTTGTTGATTTTGTGGTGTTTCTTTTCTTGGTCTTCCTCTGCTTAACCACTGACCGGGCGTTGTTTATTTTTCCTTGTAGCCTCTTGGATATGCTTATGTTTCTCTTCAACCTGAGGTATTCCTCCACTGTTCTCTGTAGGGATGGCATGGTGATAATAAACTCTTCTAGCCTGCTTTTGTCATGGAAAGCTTTTCTTTTTCCTTGAATCATGATCAATAATCATAGTAGTCTCGGTTTGCATCTGTGGTCTTCCAGAACTGGTAGGACATCAGTCTATGTCTTTTAGGCTTTTAAAAATCTTCATTGAAAAAATACCATCATTAGAATTGATGGACATTCCTTTATACGTGACTTGGTGTTTCTCTCTTGCATCTTTCAATATCCCTTCTTTCTTCTGTACATTTAGAGTTTTGACTATTATATAACATGAGGAATTTCTTTCTGATACTATTTGGGGTTTGATTGATTTGTATTGCTTCTTTCTTCTGAGGGGTCTTCTCTTCCCCTAAATTTCAGAAATGTTCTTCTATGAGTCTTTAAAAAATATATTCTGTTTCTTTAACATTAATTTCTTCTCCTTTATTTATACACATGATTTATAGGTTTGGGCTTTTGGCTAAAATTCATTTCCAGAGGAGATGCAAGCAACATCTTCAACTTTTGAGCTCCTAATGACAAACTGAGGCATGATTCTTCCATAGTTCTCTCTTGGAACCCAATGAGTTTATTGGGCTTCCTTGGAGAGCATATATGAGGGGTTGCTTGCAGAAATCCACATTGGTGATCCTCCCCCAACAGGCCACACATGGGAAATGTTTACCTAGTAGGAGTGAGGTCTTCCCATAGCTGCATAGATGAATCCCCCCTCCCTAGTCTCTCCAGTTTATATACTCTAGTCTCTATCTGAGCTACATGCAATTAAGGCAGAGATGTATATAACAGGTGCTAGGGAACTGATAAATACTCAAGTGGCCTAATTACTCTCCCCAACCCCTTCTGGGGGGTGTACACAGTCTACAAGCTCAGAATAGCCAATCATTTGCAAGAGGTACAGCTGGACTATCAAAGATGGAGGTCACTTATCCCAGAAGACAGTCACTTACAACAGGGCTTTTTATACTGTCCCAAAGACTTTGCATAAAAAAAACTTATTATTTTATTTGACTGAGTGATCCAATTCCTCTTCCTTGTCTTCAAGCCCTGATAGTCTCTCTTCTGTTAGACATACTTTATTAGTGAGGCTTTCCACTGAACTTTTTAATAGACATACTGTAGTTTTCATTTTAAGTTTCATTTTGGTTTGGGGTTTCTTCAGTATTTATATCTCTTTTCAATTATATTTCCTCATATCCTGACTTATTCTCCTTGTTTTATTCAACTGTTTGTGTTTTATTGACTTTCACTTTAAGATTTACTTGTGTCCCCTTTGAGCTCCTTAAACATATCCATAATTGTTCTTTTGAATTAATTGTCTTGTCGTCTATGTTGCTGTCACTGGGGATCATTAATGTGAGTTTAATAATTTTTGGAGGAGGCTTGTGATGTTGGATTTTGTGTTACTTGGATTTGTGTGTGTGTGTGTGTGTGTGTGTGTGTGTGTGTGTGTGTGTGTGTGTGTTTGTGTTGGAAATCTGTAGTTAGATTGTTGGTTGTATCTTTTGGTATAAATACTCTGGCCCACTTTTGTTAAATGGGCTCTTGGATCTGAAGTTGCTACCACCCTTAAACCACATTGTCAAGCTTTGGAAGAGCTGAGTAGTCTTGACATTCAGTCTTAGGTCCACACAGAGCTTATTCATGATGGGATAGTAGAGGTTTTCAGATAATATGATGTCTCCTGTTGTCTTCAAATGTGACCTACTCTTTTTTTTTTTGTTTAAAAACCATACAGATCCTACACGAATCATTTTGGCCCCCATTAACGCTGATATCACTGTTGGAGAAAATGCTACGATGCAGTGTGCCGCGTCCTTTGACCCGTCCTTGGATCTCACGTTTGTTTGGTCCTTCAATGGCTACGTGTTAGATTTTAACAAAGAAAACACAAATATCCACTACCAGAGGAATTATATGGTATGTGTTTTATATTTCACCTTACTAACATCCTAATGATTCCCATGTGTCGGCATTCAAGCTTTAGTTATGAGCCAGAGAAATAGCCTAGCAGGTAAGTAGGCCACCAAGCCTCGGGAACCTAAGTTTAGTCCTTGGAACCCACATAGCAGAAGGAGGGGACCAACTCCCAAAAGCTGTTCTCTGGTGAAAATGTGCAATGGCTTACACACACTTACACATGCATACACACATAATTAATTAAAATTCAGAAATATAATAACGTTGTATGAGATGTTAATTTTTAATGAGGTGACATTTATGTGAAAAGCTTTTCATTTTTCTAAGATTAATCATGGTACTCTGAAACATTTGTAAAGGACTAGTATTAAAGAGTTTGGTAGGGATACTGTCAAGTATGTATTTATCTCTAGGTTTATTTTCCCTTTCTATTGTATGATTCTTGTATTGATGTGAACTTTATTAAATTTGTGCCAGGGGACCCATCAATTTCACTTTAATATGAATGAGAGAGAACGATGAACTCAATCCAGGTTTTAATGATTATTTTAAAGTTATTTATTTTGTTCTGTGGAGGTGATAAATCAAACAAAATGTGTGTGTTTCAAGACTTGAAGGAGTCTGTGTGGTTTGAAAAAGCTTACATGGTTAATCCTAAGAACTTGAAACTATACATTCTTGAGACCCTGTAATTTAACATAGCAACTGGAGAGTAGAGAGAATGCCGGGAAGTACTGCAGGGAATTGACTTCTAACCCGAACATCACTGGGAGTATTGACAAGCTGCTGAGGCCTGTCGAGGGATAAAGTGGCCCCACTCATTGCTTCCATGTCCTCTCTGGAAAGGCTACCCCTTAGGAACTTGTGTATCTGTTTGGCACATGCCCTTAATTGCGAAGATGTGTTGAGGATGGGAATTACATTGGTAGAAGGGGACCAGAAAGAGGGCATGGAACACAGAGAGTAAGGTAGTGGGGGACATAAGCAAAGTACAGTGATATATATATATATATATATATATATATATATATATATGTATGTATGGATGGAACGATGGTGAAACCCACACTTAACATTTAAAATGATAGAAAGAAAAGCAACAACAACAAATGAAAATACGCTGATCCAGGAAGTATGCTTGAACCTCAGCACTTGGGAAGCTAAGTCAAGGGAACCTTAGATTCTCAAGGCTGGAGGACAGCTTGGGCCAAATAGTTCCTATCTCAAGAAAGAAAACAAAGGCAAACAAAAATGGGGAAAAGAAAGAAAACACTAACTTCAAAATCAGCTATTAATGTAGCTTGAGCCAACTCAGTGGGATATTTCAGAATTTTTACATGCCATGAAATCTGGATTAATATTTATAAATTATAATAACATTATGCTTCAGATTGACTGGTTGTCTGCTCTTCACTTGTCTAGGGCTCCTTCTTGAAGCTGAGTAAGACTTTCTTTAACAATACAGGGACAATTCTAGAAAGATGCACAGCCACAACCCTCTCAGTATTTAGGTATAGGCCCCTGCACGGTCACTGTAAAGTCCAGGTATTTGCAATTTACTGGGACTAGCCACCATAACCATAAATCAATAGCAAACCTGCAAATTTGGTTTCTGAGCCAAAACTACACTTAAAATGAACATAATTGAAAGAGAAAAACAGATTTTATGTTTTAATCTTCTAAGTAAAACTTTTATGATGCTCTTAATATAGCCTTGCCTATCATGAGTGAAATTGCCACCATAATCTTTATCAATTTAATAATTCTTCTTTACATTATTTGGTTATTTTTGAAAGACAGGTCCCAAAGTTTTTATTGATTTTCAGGAAATCAATAAATCTTAAAGAGGGAAAGTTTTGAGTTCATTTAATCATTTGGTGTAATAACTTGAATAATTTCTGAACTACCATCTGGAAAAATGACAAGCAGAGCTTGGGAAGTAATAGCTTTAGGGCTTATAGCTTCAGGGAAGTCTGTATAAATAGATTTGGGGGGCATAAATTACCCTAATTAAGGTGAAACTTCACATTTGAAGCCTAGGTGCATTCTTTAAAATGATAGTTGCCCCATGTTATTTGACATTAATACCCACTATAAAAAAATTGGGGGGGGGGGAGGAAAGAATGAGAAAAAATAGAAGAGGAAGAAAAAAGAGGCTGGGGATTTCAAAAAGGAAGGGAAAGAGAAATGGTTGTTATGCTAAAGGGAAAAAATGAGAGCATAGATGGGGAGTGAGTTGTTGAGACTGTATCTACTGTCTCTGCAAATGACAGCCACAGAGGGTCAGTGCATGGCTGGCCCGGGCTGGTCCACAGAGTGTTTGTGGGCTGTGGGCTCCACGCTGGGATTCCTCAACTCAAGGGATTACCATCCGCTAACAGACAAACTAAAACTGTATTTTCTGATGAAATATGAGACACAACTGAATCACATTAGCAAATGTTCATTATTAGCACTTCAAAGAAAGATTCATGAGTTGAATTCTTTTAAAAAGTGAAATCTCAGGATAAGATTGGTTATTATAATTAAATGTTTTAATTTATTTTACAACCCCATCACTGTTGCAAAGTAAGTGATCAGAGCAATTCTCTTTTGAATGTCCAGAAGTCCAGCAAAGGTTTCTCAATGTCTTCCCTTTTCAACAAAGTCAGGGGCAAACGTCCCTACTAAATGACATTTAAGTGACAGCATCAGGAATGTGTTTAAGCTATCTTCCAGAGACTGTCCTCATTTCTAGGCCGCCTTCTGGGTTTGTTGGAACAACGTCCACCTGAAGCTTAGAGAGTGAAAACACAGTGGCAGCGGGAACATCAGTGAGGAGGGAAGGGCACAGGTGGCCGTGATTATCTGTTGCTCAAACTTGCACAGGCCAAAAAAATGTCTCTTTGACTATCTCTTAAATAACATTTGACATTCTTCTTAATTTCGGGGAACATTTTAGTAGAGGGATAGCATGGATTGGCATAAAATCATCTGCCACACCTATGCTATCCACTAAGGTAAATGAAACACTGAAAAGCAAAGATGTATACAAATTAAAAAAAACAAAAAAAAACAAAAAAAACCCCACAAACTCTCGAGTCTTAACTGCCACAACTGCCATAATCATAATGTTTCCACAATTATTACTGCCAACAATTAATAATAGAAGTCATTATTACTAAAAATAATCTAGATATAAATTTAATTTTTATTACATGAACTTTCCTTTCCATTTTTTTTAATTTATTTTAATTTATTTTGCAATACAATTCAGTTCTACATATCAGCCACAGATTCCCTTGTTCTCCCCCCTCCCGTCCCCCTCACGTTCCCCCCAACCCCCCCCCCCCCCCCATTCCCATCTCCTCCAGGGCAAAGCCTTCCCCACAGACTGAGGTCAGCCTGGTAGACTCAGTCCAGGTAGGTCCAGTCCCCTCCTCCCAGGCCAAGCCAAACAATCCTGCATAGGCCCCAGGTTTCAAACAGCCAACTCATGCAATGAGCACAAGATCTGGTCCCACTGCCTGGATGCCTCCCAAACAGATCAAGCCAATCAACTGTCTCACCCATTCGGAGGGCCTGATCCAGTGGGGACCCCTTAGCCATTGGTTCATAGTTCATGTGTTTCCATTCATTTGGCTATTTGTCCCTGTGCTTTATCCAACCTTGGTCTCAACAATTCTCGCTCATATAAAACCTCCTCATTCTCGCTAATTGGACTCCCAGAGATCCACCCGGGGCCTAGTCATGGATCTCTGCATCCAGATCCCTCAGTAGTTGGATGGGGTTTCTAGCACAACAATTAGGGTGTTTGGCCATCCCATCACCAGAGTAGGTCAGTTCGGGCTGTCTCTCGACCATTGCCAGCAGTCTGTTGTGTGGGTATCTTTGTGGATTTCTGTGGGCCTCTCTAGCACTTTGCTTCTTCCTATTCTCATGTGGTCTTCATTTACCATGGTCTCCTATTCCTTGTTCTCCCTCTCTGTTGTTGATCCAGCTGGGATCTCCCGCTCCCCCAAGCTCTCTTTCCCTCAACCCTCGCCTTTCATTACCCCAACTCATGTCCAGGCTGTTCATGTAGATCTCATTCCATTTCTCTGTCATTGGGCGATCCCTGTGTCTTTCTTGGGGTCCTGTTTTCCAGGTAGCCTCCCTGGTGATGTGAGTAGCAGACAAGTCATCCTTGTTTCATGTCTAGTATCCTGCTATGAGTGAGTACATACCATGTTTGTCTTTCTGAGTCTGGGTTACCTCACTCAGGATGATTTTTTCTAGATCCATCCATTTGTCTGCAAACCTCATGATGCCATTGTTTTTCTCTGCTGAGTAGTATTCCATTGTGTATATGTACCACATTTTGTTTATCCATTCTTCAGTTGAAGGGCATCTGGGTTGTTTCCATGTTCTGGCTATTACAAACAATGCTGATATGAACATAGCTGAACAAGTGCTCTTATGGTGTGGTTGAGCATTTCTTGGGTATATGCCCAAGAGTGGTATAGCTGGATCTTGGGGGAGATTGATTCCCAATTTTCTAAGAAAGCGCCATATTGATTTCCAAAGTGGTTGTACAAGCTTGCATTCCCATCGTTTAAAAATCAAGCACGCTTTGATTCCAGCTTGCTATTTCCAGTGATTACCACTAGGGGGCAGCCTTGCATAAGGTTTTAGGATTCATAGTCTGGACAGATTTTAGTATCAACCTTTTATGAAATGAAGCAAATGCATCTCATCATCTTTACCAGCACGCTGTGAGATGCTAAGTTTCACTGTAATTCTCTCTGTGGAGTCCCATGAGAATCATGAGGTAAGCAACAAGGCATTACTGTGTATGTCTCATAAGCATATCACTGAAATGAAACAAAAGACCAAATAACACAGTTCTATACTTATGCTACTTCATGTAGTATTTTGCATTAACTTTGCTATTCATTCCCTCATTTATTTAGTTAAAAACTCACTGAATATTATGCTTTGTGTGATAATGGCTAGTAAATGTTTTATTTGTGCTTGAACAA